CACATCATTAAAGGTAGGAATGAAAGCATGTAATGACAGCTAGTTATTTTATTTTATTTCTTTAATTCAAGGAAAACAGAAGGCACAGCCACTAGCTAAATTAGGAAGAATAAGATGAAGACATATGGATAGATGGGAGCCAGCCCTGAGGAAAAACAAATCAGCTTTTAGTGTCCTGGGGTGAGGAAGAGCAAACTGTGACGGGCCATATGTCCTCACCCAACCAAGGAGAGAAGAGGGAGGATTGGGATGAGCAGAATCCTGCACCAAGTGTGCTTAAAGCCATCCTGGGGCCAGCTCAGCTGCACTGGGTTGTCCTGCTGGAGATGCATCCCAAGCAGGCAAACCGGGATGCTCATCCTCTCCAGAGAGTACCGTTAGAGCATGGACCTTGCAGGGCTTTCCAGGGAGAATTTCCTACCAGGAAAAGCAATGTTTTTGGTGTTTGAAATTTCATGAGTTGCTGGTCAGAGAAGGGAGGACTGTGTCAGTGGGGGAGGAGAGGAGGAAAAGCGAGCATCCCTGGAGCAGCAGTATCCAAGGACACCACAGAGATGAGCACTGTGATGATGACAAACATACGTGGGTTTTCATCCTTTGGCCTCACTGCCAGCAAGAATCTTTAGAGTTTATCAAAATTCTTAGGCTGTCACAAGTTAAATAACTGGTTTTAGGAGCAGAGGAGCTGTGGGGGTGGCTTCTGTGAGAAGCTGCCAGAAGCTTCCCCAGTGTCCAACAGAGCTGATGCCAGCCAGCTCCAAGACAGATGTGCCGCTGGCCTTGTCTGAGCCCATCAGGGACAGCAGTAGCACTTCTGGGGTAACAGAGTTAAGAAAAGGGAGGAAAAGCTGGCAAAACAGCAAATGGAGACAGGAGTGAGAATGTGTGAGAAAAACAGCCTTGCAGACACCAAAGTCAATGAAGGAGTGGGAGGGGGTACTCCAGGAGCAGATGGATGCCAAAAGGAGGCTGTGACCATGTGGAGCAGACTCCCGCCAGCAGCTGTGGCCCCATGGAGAAAGAAGCCCAGCTGGAGCAGGTTTGCTGGCAGGATGTGTGACCCCGTGGGGGACCCAGCCCGTTCCTGAAAAACTGCAACCCATAAACGGACCCAGGCTGGAGCAGTTTGTGCAGAACTGCAGCCATGGGAAGTTCTCATGCTGGAGAAGCTCATGGAGGACTGTCTCCCATGGGAGGGACCCCATACTGGAGCAGGGGCAGAGTCTGAGGAGTCCTTTCCCTGAGGAGGAAGGAGCAGCAGAGCCAACATGTAATGAACTGACCACAGACTCCATTATCTGTCCCCCTGCACCACTGCAGGAGAGAAGGGAGAGAAAATTGGAAGTATGGTTGAGCCTGGAAAGAAGGATGGGGTGGGGGGAAAATGTTTTCAGGATTTGGTTTAATTTCTCATCATCCTACTTTGATTTGAATTTACTAAATCAAACTAATCTCACCCTGTCCTTATCTTGACTCATGAGCCTTTTGTTATATTTTCTCTCCCCTATCCAGCCAAGGAGAGGAGTGATGGAGCTTTGGCAGGCATCTGGCATCCAGCCAGGGTTAGCCCACCACAATACCAAAGCCAATATTTTCTTTTTCTGAAGGACTTTTTCCTCCAAGGACTTTGGTTATTATTGAAGAGACATCAAGTATGTGGAACCTGAATTGGCACGATGTTATAGTGATGTAAAGCCAAGCAAAAGCAGAGCAGTGAATCAGGTGCCCAGTCTCAGTAACCCTCACACATTTTCATTCAGGCCATAATGGAGTTCAAACAACTATTTAGACCAGTTAGAAAATGAAGATGAAATGCATAAGGCACCACAAGAGACTTTCAGAAAAGCACACAGCATGACCAAATCCTTCTCATTTTTAATATTTCTATTTCTTCTTCTAAACTTTTTCTTTAAACTTGAAAATAATGAGAAAATGTGCTTCCTTGAGACAAGCCAGTACTATCAGCTAAACAGCCTCACATTCATCGTAGCACTCCAAGTGCTCTGGAATGCTTTTCAGCCCAGAGGATAATAGTATTAGACGACCAGAAAGACTGTCCTGTAAAAGACTGTTATTATGATTTCCAGTCTCAGAAGTTGGCTTAATCCAGCTGAGCACACACATGTTATTTAGAGAGGAGACTGAGCTCAGACACTGCTATCACCATCATCTTTATTGCAAATGAAGGGTTCAGCCAGTGAAAGGCAAGTCACGTTTTTTTTGTCCTAAGCCCTGCAAACAGTGGCTGTTGCAATCGTCTTTGCACTCTGCAGCGAGAGTCTGGAGCTGCTGAATGCGGAGCTGTTTGCACAGATTTGCATCTGTCTAAAAACTCCTGTTTTCTCTCTTGTCACCTAATCAATCAAACAGTAAAAGATGCACTCCCTGCACCCTCCGAGGAAAGCAGCTCTGTGCCCACACAAAAGGCAAAGCATGAGCACAGGGGTTAGCTAGAGGTGCTAAGCTGTGAACCCTGTAACAGGAGCAATTTTTTTTCACTGCTTGAAATTTCATGCTGCTCTTCCTCTGCCTATGGAACAAAAGAAGAAAAGGCAGTGATGCTCTGAATTGGGAAAAAAATAATCTGGGATTGTTCCCTGCATGAGAAAAATATGTTTGGAGGATTACTTGGGGTATTTGCACCTTGACTTGAGGAGGAAATGCCGCACAGCTTCTCTCCCAGGGTTTAGGCAGAACACCTCCCTCCCAAAGGACTGGTTCTCCCACCCACACCTTCCCAGGCGAGCAGGACCCATCTCACACCACAGCCTGCCAAGGACCAGCAGCCAGGCACCAATCCCTGTGGGTCAGCTTGCAGCTGGCACCACTGCTTGGAGTTGCTCAAATCTGCCCATGCCAAAACCTGCCAGGGCCACTGCTGCCCCATCCGTAGGGTGGGGGTGAGCCTTCCCACTCTATCCTTTTTGCTCCAGGGGGAATATTGCATTTCACCGCACAGCACTGGAGTGAAGAGCTCTTCATGAATATCCAGCACAGAATTCCACCTATTCATTCTTGCACTGGTAGTGTCTTTGCTAACAGTCCCTGTCAGGGCAGCCTCAGCCACACTTTTGCCAGACAAAACAGCTCAGCCTCCCTCTGTCCTTCCAGTCACCTCCCAAGAAAGGAGCCACTGGGCACTCAGATTCATGCCAGGATGGGAGGGACAGCAGCTTCCTCGCCTTAGTCCCAGGGAAGCAGCTCAAACAAGCTGAACCCCTGTGAGCAGCAGCTCTTCCTGGGCAAGCACTCCTTCCCTGGCACATTTTCCCATGGGAGACAAGCACAGGGACCTTAAAATAAATCTGTCTTTTTAAAGCAGAGATGCTAAATGAAGGTTTGAGATCAAAGGCTGGGATTCTTACATTTTGCCAAGATAGACATATCCATTCACGAGATTTTTGGTGTAACAAAATACTTGCTAATGAAGAGGATCATAATCTTATTATTAGCCCGAACTACCACAGTATGTCATTCAAGAGCGGGTTGGAATATGTCCTAGTTTAGGAAGTTGCACAGTGGGTTTTGCTTTTGATTTAATGAGCTGTGATTGTGTTTATTTTCAGCAGCAACTATGCCCGTTAAATTTTGGTTGAAGGTCTGATCGTTAACGACAGTAATCGACGGAAAGGATGAATTTAGGTTGAAGGGGAGGAAAATGGGAATTGTATGTCTCTGGGATTCAGTCCCCAAGCAAGCAAACACAAGGTGGTCAGGAGAGCCTGAGCTTTCTCTGCTTTTGCAGTGCCTGATGATGGGTTTTCAACTACTGGTTAACTCAGTTAAGGGGATTCAGTCATGGAAAAACAAAGATTTTTGCTGTTACAGAGTGGGGCACAGAGGAATATCAGGTGTAGGCAATCAGCAGTGGGGGCCAGATTTTCCTTTTGTGGGATGAGCCATGGTGGGATAAGGTCATCAGCTGGCTTCCACTATCAATATCCCAGAAATTCTAAGATGGCAGAGGGAACATATCAGCAGTGTGTAACAACTGAACAACCTGCCAGATGAGCAAAATGGAGAAGAAAGGGGAAGAGAAAAATAAGTAGAGACATGTACTTTGAAAAAAAAAATATTGCTGCAGCAGAGCTGGTTGGTGTAGGCCCTGCTCTGGGGTGAGATGGGCCCCGCGCAGCAGGGTTTCCCCACATGAACCCCCCCACTGCTGCCTGTCTGGGTAACTGGAGCGGGGCCACCGAGCAAGAAGGGCAGGGCAGGGCAGGGCAGGAGGGGGCACAACTCAGACCCACGCCCCCATCACACTCCTTTTGCAGCTGGTGTCTGTGTCTCAGTTTCCAGCCTTACGAAGGATGCTGTGCTTTGTGTTTTACACCATCAGCCCCAAAGGGGTCCAGCATAGTTTATTTGCCAGCATCAAAGCGTGCACACATTGGCATGTGTATGTAAGTACAGGCAGGACATCCATAAGGGGCGTGAAGGAAACACAGACATGGACAGACACATGGATAGACACACGGATAGACACACATAGCCAGTTGTAGCCTTTAAAAGCTTGCCATGTACAATATTAGCATGGTTGTCCCCAGCTTGGACACGGGGCTCAGCCGGAGGTGTTGGCTTGTGCCAGTCAGCGAGGTGTTTTGTGGAGCAGTCACCGACCCGCGGTTTGTCAGCTCCAGCGCCTGTAAATTCCTGTGGCAAGTGTAAAAAATCAGTTAACACGTTGTTCTATTTTAAAAGATTTTTTTTTTTTTTCATGACGGCCGTCTGTCTGACGGGGTACCCCTCTCCTCCGCCAAGGCGTGCTGGGGGTGCGTGTCCTCTACATCCCCGACCCCCTCGGGAAGGGGGGAGCTGGAGACGATACCCAGGGGTCTCTTGGAGGGGACGGCGATGGGGCAGGGGGACACAGCCCCGCGGAGCTCCGCCGGCTGCCGGGCAGCTCAAGGGGCTCATTGTGCCCGGGGCTGGGCGGTGCTGCCCTCCCCGCGGGCCGGGGCCGGGGCCGGGGCCGGGCAGCTCTCCGTCCCGCGGCAGCCATGGCAGAGGGCTCCGAGAAGGTGCCGATCGCCCGAGTGGGGCCCGACGATGTGGAGCTGTGCCTGCCCCCCGTGAGTGCTGCCGGCAGGCACCGGGCGGGACAGGGCGGGAGCGGGAGAAAGCGCGTGGGCATGAGTTGGGATGGAACGGGACCCAGCGAGTCGGGACGGGTTGGGACGGTGGGGAACGGGTGGGGCCGGGACAGGTCGCAATGTAGCGGGACGGACCGGGACAAAACGGGTCGGGTCGGGTCGGGTCCGGCCGGGGGTCCCTGCCCTGTCCCTGCTGCCACCCGCGCTCTCCGCAGGCGTACGCGGCGGCCGCGCCCCCCGGGCCGGGGCGGCTGCTGAAGGCCGGGGCCGCGGTGCTGATCGCCGGGGCCCTCCTGCTGCTGGCCGGGGCCATCGGCGCCTTCTACTTCTGGAAAGCCACGGAGCGGCAGGTGAGCGCGCCGGGCCGGCCCCGGAGCACCTCCGACCGGGGCCGCGTGGGCGGGGAGCTCTCGCACCTACGGAGAGGCACGGGCTGGAAGCGCTCCTTGCGAGGTCTATAAAGAGGTCTTTAAGCAGACCTGTAGGTTTTTTTCCTTTCAAAAATCCCAAACACCTAAAAACCCAAACCTATAATCGCTGTCTTTGGTGGCTGTGTGGATGGAGCTTCCTGGAAGCACATTTATTAGCGAAGACGAAACACATCTTTGAGAGCACAGACTCTACATTGATTTCTGCTCACAAATCTTCAGTGAACTCAAACCCCAACAAGTCCCCAGAGATTCACAAGCTGGGCAAACTCCAGCTCTCAGGACAAAAAAAACACTGAAATGTGTAAATTCTTTTTTCATAGCATCTGCATTCTCAGTCCAGATTCTACCTGGACCCTCAAGTATGTAATGCTATAATTAACCCATTAACAGGCACCGTTCGTTCTGGTGCTTTGTATGACTGTGCATACACTTAGGTTTGCAGCTGTGGAGCAATTTTTAAAGTTAAGTTTTATTATTTACAGTTTCTGGGGTACATGAGAAACGCTTTATGCAAAGATTGAAACTGAGAAGCTGGTGATCAGTTAAAGACCCAAACTTAAGAGCATTAGAACATGTTTACAGATTAACTTTTCTTTCTGTTTACACAGAATTTGTGTAAACAGAAAGAAACATATTTGAAACATGATGGTACACACATGAATGTACCCTTCTCCATAAATTAAATTAGTATCCTTGAATTTACTTTGGAAGTTTTGTACTGCCTCTGGCCACACGCCAGCCCTCATCAAGGAGAGCCTTGTGTGAATTCCAGGAGCCATGGCCCTGTGAGATACACCCCTACACATAAGGATAATTCAGATAATCAGAAAGAAAAGTACAAGGTTTTACAGCAAAAAGACAGGACACATTGCTGACCTCTAAGACATGCTGCAAGAACCGTGTGCTTCTCTAAAGCAAGGCTTTTGCAAAGGGAGAGGGATGCAAGTGGTGGCACAGGCAGGGGACAGTGCTTTCAGCTCTGAGCAGGTAGGTGCATTTGTGGAGTACAAGACAATGTTTCCCTTTTTTAATGCTCCTGTCATCTAAATTTAGCCATACAAAATATGTCACATTCATAGTTTTCATTAAGGTTCAAAGTTGCTCTCCAGGTGAAGACACTGGGAAAGCTGAGAGTTATTTTTCCAAGCTGCCTTCAAACTCAGAAAGCTGCACTTGAGTTGCAAATGTTTAGGAAGCAACTGCAAAAATTATATCCAGAGTAATTAATTAAAAAAAAACTAATGCAATTTTTAAATTCTTGGTTTTATTTTATATCTTTAAATTCTTCCCTAGATGACAGGAGTATCAAAGTCTCAACTCTAGCTCAACCCCTGTCAGGGGGAGACCACATACACTGGTCTGGTTTTATGGACCACGTTCAACAGGAGTCCTAGAAAGCAGAAATATGGGAGTGGCTGTGTATAACTGAGGAGCCATAAATCTTTAGCACCTTAGACTTCCCTGAGCGAAGGTGAGAGAAGAAGAAATTTGTCTCTAGCTGTCAGTGTAAATTTTTCATTAAAATGCTGTAAAGGCTTTTTTAAGACCCAAAATAAACTGCTTGTGCAGCACTTTTAGCAGAGCTGCACAGGAGAATCACAAAACCCCTCCACAGATTGTGGTTCTCCAGCAAATACAACCATGCTGTAGCTCTCCTCATTGAAAATAGGATAAGGGCAAATATGCTGACAAGGAAAATACAAGCCTATACAACTTCAGATCCAATTTAAACAAAGTTCACATCCATTACAAGCTGGGAAGTGTGTTCGTATTCAAGAGGAACCTGTTTTCCTGTGCCTCAGCAGAACATCCTAAGAGATAAACAGAGGTTGGCCTCCTTCAGAGTAGGACATTCACGCCTGCTGTCCTTTGGGAATCATGCCAGCATAAAAAGCAATTCCTAAACTGTCCTAGAAGAAGGCTTTTAGGCCAGAGTGAACATGGGTGTGGACTCACCCCATGTTGGTTTTGAAGTAAAACTATAAGCACTCCCTGGAAGGGGGATCTCAGGTCTCTAGTCCTACCTGATGCTCAGAGCAGGGACAGCTGTGAGGTCAGAGATGGTTGCTCAGGGCTTTATCCAGTCAGGCTGTGAAAACTTCCAAGGATGGAGGCCAAACAACCTCTCAGAGCTGGCTGCCCCACTGCCAGCCGGACCTAATGCTGAAGTAGTGCAGTGTTGGTTGTTGGAGGGTTATCAAATGCATGCAGCAGCAAAATTTAGGAGCTAAATATGGATATGAGAGTCAGATTGACCCATTGCCTGGTGTAGGAGGAAGGCAATAAGTAATTACTGGCATGTGCTACCGCTCTTTTATTGATTCCAGGTGTACAACGTTCACTATACTATGAGCATTAATGGAAAAGTACAAGATGGATCAATGGAAATAGATGCTGGAAACAACTTAGAGACATTCAAAACAGGAAGCGGGAGTGAAGAGGCAGTTGAAGTCCATGATTTTCAGATCGTAAGTAGTGCCACTCTTGTCCTTCATGGAACACACTCCAGTGCTGGACTCTTAAGGACACCTTGTTCTGCCCTGACTTCTCTGCCCCACTTAGCCTCAGGTTCCAGCCTCCAACCATCCATGCAGACATTTTTGCTCTCCTGGCTTGCATTCTCAGGGAGACAGGCAGTTTCCTCCAAAACAAAAATCTAAGTGCTTTTTGGAGATCAGCCATGCCAGGTACCACTCCAGGAAGTGGTGTGGATTAGGCTGCGTCAGGTTTGACTTCATGTAAATACTTGCATTTTCAAACCACTGAGCAGAAATGTGACATGTGACCTTGGGGTCCTACTAGAAGAACATTCTGTCAGGCTGTGACACAACCCTCACCTGATTTCAAGTGGTGTGCACTGGCAGAAACACCTCCCCCAAACACCTGTTTGAGGAGCAGAGGGTCAATACAGTAAGACAAAGAGACACCAAGGAAAGCCCACTCTGCAGTGCTTGACTTTGGGAGCTTCCTTTGCCTTGAGGTCAAGGATGGGAGCTGCTCTCCAGGACTTGGCCTGGGTTCATCCCCATGGCAGAGGATGGAAGCATTTAGCATTTATGCATCTGTGCACCAAATGCCAGGTGCTGGGACACTTGGGCCGACAGCAAACACACTTCGGCACCCCAGCAAGTTGTGGCTACTCAGCACAGGGCCTGGACAAACAGATGCCAAACCTCAGCAGGGCTCAGCAGCTCGGATAGAGTAGGTTTGTGAGCTGCCCTGGGCTACTAAGGCACATCTGTGTGATGCTGCACAAACCCATTCTCAGGGCCCAGAGCCTGCAGTTAAATGTTCTCAGGTGCAAAACACTCAACTTCAGAGTTAAGCCCTCTGTAAGTCAAAGCAGTGCCTAAAACAAAGATACTGCTGCTAGGAAGCATCTCTGCTTCTGGAGCAGCCACCTTTCCCTTGCTGGATCTAGAAAGGCAAGGAAATCCAGCTCCTTGGCTTTTCAGCAAGAACGAACAAATCCATGCCAGAAGATGCTGGACCCCAACTTTCCCAACAGCTGTGGTTCTGCCTTTATGCAACTCCCATTAGCATCACCATAGCAATATTATTGGCAGCTGAGTAGGAGCATCCACAGCGAGCCCTTCTGATTTGCCATTTCACATCTGCACAAAAGCACCAGTCCACTGGAGAGATGCTGAACTCATGTTTCCTCCACGTGTGTTGCTGGTGAGATACTGCCCGTCACAACCAGGTTATGAATCAGCTCCTAACACCAACCAGCTCACGGGACTTCCCAGGGACGGTGCCTGCTTGTAATTACAGAGGGCCAGGGACAGCCTCAGCAAAAGGATGATGCCACTTGGGTTTTCAGCCAAGAATGCACACAAAGGAGAAAGCAACTGAAGAGATGTGCTTCCAATAGACTGGTATTTACATTAGCAGTTCTAGATTGACTGGCACTGCCAGAATGACTGCATGGTCAGAGAAGGCTTGGATTTGGCAATATTAGGGTACTCCTAGAACAGCTGGTACACCACAAAGCCTTGTGTCCTAATGCACCCATCCTTGCACAGCCATTTCCTCTGTCACTGCTTTTTCTAGTCATTTTGTTGTGAAGGGGGTGTGTGCAGCTACACAAGACTGCAGACACACAGGACATGGCTCAGGTGCCCCAGTACCATCCATCTCATGCTGCACTGCATCACAATGTGTCGAGTTGGAAGGGATCCACAAGGATCATTGGGTCCGACTCCTGGCACAAGACCATCCCCAAGAGTCACACCATGTGCCTGAGAGCATTGTCTGAACGCTTCTTGGTCTCTGTCAGGCTGGTGCTGTGACCACTTTCCTGGGGAGCTGTTCCAGTGCCCAACCACCCTCTGGGTGAAGCACCTTTTCCTGATATCCAACCTGAACCTCCCCTGACACAACTTCAGGCCATTCCATTGGATCCTGTCATTTTCACCAGTGTCTGCCCCTCCTCTTCCCCTAACTGCAACAAGGTCTCCCCTCAGTCTCCTCCAGGCTGAACAGACCTCAGCCATCCCTCATACAGTTTCCTCTCAAGGCCCTTCCCCATCTTCATTGCCCTCCTTTGGACACACCCTAACAGTTTAATGTCTTTCAGTGTGGCACCCAAAATTGCACACAAAGGCATCCATGATACCCCTTCAAGGCAGATGAGAGGGGTCATGCTGACACCCACACCTCTTTCCCCTGGCAGCTAGAGGCCAGGCAGAAAACCAGCACAACTTAAAGGGCAGTAGGTAATTATATTTAGGTGGCTGATTGGAGCTTTTTCACCCACATGAAAAACACAAAAATCTAAATTTATCTAAATTTCTAATGTAGAAGAGAGCTCTTTTATGGATACCTAAAACCTACAGTAGAACCATAGAAACTACAATGGCAAGATGTTGATGCTCGAGGTGCTGGCACAGGGCTGGAAGGTAACATCCCAGAGCTTGCAGGAGACTTGCTCCTTCTCTTGCTTAAAACTAAACACTTACAGTTTATGCAATTGCATTTCACTCTAGGGGAGGCCAGATGAAGTCCCACACAGATTTCTGCACCAAACTGCCCGTCACAAACTTCCCTTTGCTGTCACAGTCACTTAATTGTACAGACTGAACCAAACTGCCCCCACATTTTTGTAAAACTGTGTCACAAGGGTACCATGCCACCAGCTAGCACAATTTCAAGACTGCCTACGTTAGGTGCTAAGTTACAGTTCAAATCATGTCAACTAATTCCTTAACAGAGGTACTCTAAGTAGCCTACAGCCTGCATGGGAACACTTACATAAAACACCCCCCCACTTTCAGAAATCACGCAAAAACTTCTAGACCAATTTGGCCAAAATTGTGAAGCTAAAATGATGAAGGGAAGAGTGTTTTATGGCTTCTGGTTTTAAATAAGGTTAACCTTCAGACTGAAAATTCAGTGGCAATTTTAGCAGAGCTGAGGCACTTTGTTGGGGGTGGTGAGGAGCTGGAGGGCTGTGCACAACCCCCTGCCTTCTGCTTTTGCAGGGCATAACTGGGATCCGTTTTGCTGAAGGAGAAAAATGCTACATCAAAGCTCAGCCAAAAGCCCACATCCCTGAAGTTGATGCTATGGCTAAAGCGAGCCTCTCATCTGAGCTGGTAAGGGGTAGTTTGTTGGTTTTTTTTAAACTAATCTTTGTATAGAGAGAGCCTAAAGGAGGTACTTAAATACAAATTAAAATGGCATTTGGAAGCCACTCTGGCTCATGGTAGGGTTGTTAAACATAGGGTAGGATAGTTGAGAATTCATTGACTGGTTACAAGGAGTTGAAGGGTAAGAAAGGTTGAAAGGTAAGAAAAACAAGATTGGTGTCAGACATGTCACTGTGTCCAGGGACATGGTGAGAGGTTGTAGATTAGTAAGTGTGGAAGCCACAGACTGATTTCTGCCAGATCCACAGGAGATCTCCGTGACAAGAGCACCTGCCTGAGACCAGGCTGTGCACAAGGCTGGAAGGGAGGGCGTGGAAGTAGTCAATGCAAAGGAGGACTGTGGTGGATCCCAGGAGATATCCATGAATGCTCTTGAGCACAAGCATGAACTCCATCACTCTAATCAGTAAAACGGAATTGTGGAAAACATGGCAAAAATTAAAATAACTCACAAGAAATAATTTCTTCTAAAAAATATGACTTTGCCTTCTTAGCATAAAATTTAATTTTACGTTAACTAGAATTTGCATCACAACCAGCACAGAAGCTGCAGTTCTCACCCGGATACTACCAAACCTCACATTTGCCCAAGAAGCTGACTGCTTTACGTGCTCAAAGCCCGAGTTTCCCAGAGCTCAGACCCCAAACTTATTGCTCACACAGGAGTGGCTCCAGTGACTTGAGTCCAGCTGAGCCTGGATGCTGCTGGAGGCTCAGTCACTGGCAGGAGAGCACAGGAGATCCACAGCCCCTTTCCCTGGGTTTGCTCTGCTCCTGGGAGAACAAAAGCAAGATACAATTAGTGGGGAGAGAGGTGCTGTTACGGTTGCACCTCCCTGCCGTGGTGCTGTGACTCCTGAACATCTGCTTTAAAATTAAGGGGAAAAAGATCACTCCTAATAGAGTCAGAAAAGCTGACAAATGTTACAAAGCCTCCTGACGCTGGCAGGATTTTCCCCATGATGGGAAAGAGAACTTGCACGAATTCCAGAGAGAGAGTTCCATCTTTCCTGCCTTGCCTTATTTTAAAGGCAGCTGGCCTTGACTTAATTAGTGCTATTGCTTGAAGTCAAAGATTGAATTTTTCATCTTTTTGTAAAAACAAAGTCACAGACCTGAAGACATTATCCTAAATAATCAAACACTTACTTCTAATTCTACCTGCTGACAGTAAAACTATTTCCTTGTCCTGTTTTTTGTGCATCTTCTCCCAAGATGCATCACCTGTGTAACTGTTGCAATGAATCACACGCACCAAGCAGCTTAGTGCTACCACTAAGACATTAACTTTTCCCTGTCACTCGATTTTCCAGGCCAGGTGTACTACAGGAATGGCAAAGTAGTATTTATTTTTCTAGGCCAAGTTGTCTCTCCAATATATTCCGGAAGTATCTAGGAGAAAGTATGCATATGCTGTTTTCCTACAATGGGCATCATAGCAACACTACCTACAAAAATTGTTGAGTAAAATGAGTTTTATAGATACCCAAGTTCTGGCTCACAAGTCTCATTTCAAACAGAAACAAAGGATATTTTTGTTTCTGAAAATTAGAGTCAGATATTTCTGATGTTGATAAAAGCTTAAGTGGGAGAATGTAAATAAAGAGCAGTAGACAGATTGGATAGCAAACTTAAATGACTTGAGACCTACAAAATAAATCAATAAACACTAAAGAAACAACAACTCAAGGGAATAAATTGATTTAGTCAGTTATATAACAAGTCTTGATGACTTTTATGAAAGCAATTTAGAATTTTAACTTTGAAATCATGCTGGTTTTCGTGATTCAAAAGTTAGTTTTCTTTTAATATTTCACCGTTGCTATAAAATACTTACACATTTTATGTAAAATAATACTTTGAACTAACAACTTTAAAGAATCAATCACTGGCATTTTCCTACATTACTTTGAAGATATGAACCAAAAACCTGCAGGGTATACTTCAAAAAGACAGGCTCCTTTAACTTGCACTTCAAGCTTTTGGTCAATTGAATTGCTTTACCAAACAAGACATTTAATCAGACCGATCACATTGACTTAAAACTGGAAGCTGGAGCAGTTTTCAAGCTATAATCCTCTCTAAAACTTTTAGAACAAGATTCCACCCCTCACCACCCCCCCCCAATACACACATTGTAAATAGAGTTATATAGTGGGAGTATGTCAAATGAGAACAGGCATAAGAAGAGATGAGGGACTTGGGTTTTGCTGGTATTTCATTGCTGCTTTGCTGAAGGAGGTAGAACTTTGGTTTCTACCACCTGAAATTCTGGTGCTTTGGGCTCAGAGACCTCTGACACCCAGCCCTCATGCATGGGGCAGAAGCCTTCTAGGAGTGAGATGGGTAAAATCACAGCCCCAGCAAAGCTGACAGTGGCTCTGCCCTTCATTTCAGTGGAGGCAGCCCTTCCCCAGGCTTTGGCTCAGCACGATTCCTTCACATTCATGACATAGAGGGATGCTCAGTATTAGTTGCAGCGGGTAATTATACAGTTTGGTGCTCAAGAATTAGCAGCAAGCAGGCACATGACTGCTCGCTGAGCAGCAAAGGATTTATGCTCTTCTATTTGCAGGAAGATGAAATCATGCCTGTGAGATTTGACAAAAACTCCCTTATCTGGGTGGCTGCAGATGAGCCTATCAAGCATAACAGCTTCCTAAGCCCCAAAATTTTAGAGCTTTGCAGGGATCTTCCAATTTTCTGGCTGCGACCAACATATCCCAAAGGTAACATTTCTTTTATTTGAAAAGTATGTTATCCCTCCCTTCATCTAAATGCCTTCCCTTCATCAGGCTTGCTACTGAAACTAGCACATCTGGGAAACCAGACTCCTTTCCTCCCTTGCCCACGCCTTCCTGGGCTTGTGCCAAGATTGTGGGTTTGGAGTTATCCCCTAGATATTTTCCATCCTTGTATTTACTCAGACAATTTGCATAGCCCAAGTGGGTGACTTGCTAGGAGATGAAATATTTCCAGAGAGGTCAGCCTCCTTCTAGAGAAAGACAAGACAACAGCTTAAACTAGCCCCCTTAATGTGTAGGCAGCTGACACCAGGTAGCAGGAACACTGGCCAGGAATTCGAGACCATAGCCTGTCCTGTTTTCTACCCTGCTTCCCCAGAGGAATTCAGTGGAGTGGAAGGAAGATGCTTTAAGCCAGCCAGCTGGTGGATGGTTTATGAGACCCTGGGGCAGTCCCAGTTCTGAAATTGGGGCCCTTAGGCAAGCTTAGCAAAGGTGTTCAGGAGTCACCAGGAAGATGGCTACTCCACCAGGTAACTTCTAGGCTTAGAAGGAGAGAAGGCTCAAAAATATTTGTTCCTCCTTGGTCCAGTTAATATCAGAACACTTGGGTGGGACAACACGTGTGAAAAAAAAACTACCACATTTTAGAGCACCTGTGGACCCAAGCTACCAATATTTTCCACTTCCCTTCATGATCTTGCATATCCCACTGGGCAACAAAAGAGTAGTATCAAAGCTGTCCAGAACCAGATATCCTTGAAAGCAGGGCATCATCCTGCCATAAAAGCATTTTTAAAAATATGTGAGATGTGAACAGCTGGTCTTGCTAGTGCTGGAAACTGCTACTGGGTTTGTGACTACAGGCTGGGTCAAAAAACCCTGAACAAATCTCCTCAAATTTTGCCTCAAGGAGACAGGAGGGAGAAAGGGAAAGGCAATCACACTGCTTTGGACTGGCACTGGCTGCAGACACAACATAGGAAGGCAAGCAGCTCCCGTGGCAATGCACAGCAAGTTTGCCAAGGCCCAGTTTCAGTTTTCTCTCTGTCCTCCATTCTCTCCTTTTTTTTATATATTTAAAGAAATCACTGAAATATTAGGTAACTACAATGACACTCATGGTAAGAGTGTCATAACTACAGTAACTCAAGGTAAGATTGTCCCTCGGTGATTATTTCTTCAGATAACCAGAGGAGAGAAATGAAGAGAAACAAGCGCCAATCAGAACCAAACTTTGAGGAAGACTTGGAAGCTGCTTCTGAAGAAGTAAACCCCAGGTCACTGGGGCAGCTGACTCAAGAGCTTGGCCACCAGGCTAATGAAACCAGGCCAATGGGACAAGAAACTGATCAAACATTTAATCCAGACAACCCATACAACGTGAGTATGTGCACTGTAATCTTCCTTCAGAGCTCAGGACTGTGTTGGACAGGTAACACTGGTAATATGGGGCTTGTAATTAATTTTTTTTTTTTAATTTAATCTGCACAGTCTTTGCTTGTTCACCTTTTCTAGGAAATAATAGACTGGTAAAACACCTGAGAAGCTCAAAAATGTCTTCCCTCTGTCCTCTTCTCCCAGTTTTAGATTTCTGAAACAAGTCTGAAACAAGCACAAGTGCTTGAGGTCACAGGGTTAAGGCAAGTTGATGCCAAGTTGCTCTTTGAGGTTTCCAGATCCATATAGAAACAGCACTGGAGATCTGACAAGGAATCTTGACCTTCTAGAAACAAACCAAAGCTGGTCTTGATCAGACAGCTGAGACCCACCATTTACTATGTGAAGAGACTCCAGTAGCTAGAAACATGCTTTGCTCTCAAACAAATTAGTACCAGACATGACTGCTACAGGGGAACATAGCAGAAGCATCTGGGTGCAAAGAGATAAATATTCAGCCAAATAAATTTCTTTCTCAGCCTCTTCTCTATGAGGGTAAGCAATCCTAGACTAGCAATAACCTGACAGAGAAGAATTTGTTTTGAGACAGCAGCAGTGGGTGGAGGATGACTGTTGTAAAACTTGTTCTCACCCTTCATGAAGCAGCAGCCCCCAGAAAGAGCAGAGGAGCCGCCCTGCTGTGTCCCAGCACCTCTGCCACGCTGCAGGAACACTGGCTGTGCAGGAGGCACCTTCCAGTCTGCTGCACCAGCGCCAGACAATTTACACCCACCATTTGGTGCAGCAGGAGTAAGTCATTTTAATACAACACTGTCACAAGATAAATGCCTCCTGCTCTGGAAGTAAGTCCCAGCTTTGACTTGACATTTATGTAACAGCAGGAGATCATTATACTGTGACAGCATTCTGCCAAGTTGACATCCCTTAATTAAACTTAAATTAATCACTCCAAATAAAGTGGATCTAAATCGACTCTCTCACGAGGTCAGTAAAACATCAGTGGCACTGGAATGTAGCTTCTCCTCACAGCCACTAACGTGACCATCTCCATGAGGTCTGAGATGCCCTGCCTCTGGAGGCACAACGGCCACAGGTCTGCTGTTCCAGCCCGGGGGCAGCTGGGCCAAATGGAGAACAGCCAGACAGATGCAGCCATCAGACTTCCCTCAGCCCGCAGGGTGAGGTTCCACCAACAGCGACTGCACCATGCCTGTCACCAGGCTTTCTTAGAGACCGAGTCACTGGACTGACAAGCACCATTAATTATGCTCTAGGCCTTTCCTGAAGGATGAAATTAATCCTCCCTAGAGCTATTTACTCACTGTAAGTGAAGCCTGGACGATGAGCTCAGGTGATGTTCATGGTGCAAGCATCTGAATTCAAGGATAATGAATCCTGACCAAGGAAACATCTTGCCTACTCTCAGGACTGGGAAGGAGTTGCTGGGGTCCCTAAAAACACCCAGCTGTCACTAATGTCCTATACAAGCCCAGACAAGGGCTGGCACCTTTCTGTATCACTTGTTTTGTTGTGCTGCTACTTTCCAAAAATGAATGACAAATGCTCAAGTAAAAAGATAACTGGTACTTCAGCATTTGTGCATTACTGCTGCCTTTCTTGAAGTAACACCAGTGGGCAAAGAACAACCCAAGTGTCCAAAAGTAGAATATCAGGTTACCTTTTTTCCCCCAGAAATGAGGAAAGGAATTTTGAAGGGTAAAGGCTTTTAGGTATTTTGTGCATGCTTTGCTCCATTTAACTCCTTACTGTCAGCTGCAGAACAGGCACAATTCTCACTGTCAACAATGCACCTAAGTGTGGTGGGATGGGAGGGAAGGAACCAGACTCAGAGACAAGCCAAATCCTCAGAAAACTGCAGGGGACCAGAGGAATAATTTCCTAAAAGTGCTGTAAAAAGCATTAAAATACAGAATCTAAAACTAATAATAAAACCCACATCATATATTTCAGGAATTCTCACCTACATGAAAGATTCAGGTATCTTGAAATAATTTCCATCACTAATATTTAAAGTTTGGGAGGAGCTTACTGTTGCTGGAGCTTTTGCAAGGACAGTAGAATAAAAATACTCAAGTTAGAGCTGCCTGTTGTTCTTTCCATTTTGCAAGGGTGATTGCACCAATTCTACACTTCTGCCACAGAGAGCAAGACAAAAGAAAAAATAATAAAGCATGGGACACTAAGTGGGAGTTTTGTCAATTTCCACAGCCCAAGGCTGCAGGTTTTACCCTTTGTGGGGTTAACGGGAGCATGGATGTATTCTGCTATTCCATGAGAATGAGAACACTGGGATGACATTTAATATTTTACATTCCAGCAGCAGGAAGGTGAAGGGATGGCTTTTGACCCCATGCTGGATCACCTGGGTGTGTGCTGCATTGAGTGCCGGCGGAGTTACACGCAGTGCCAGCGGATCTGCGAGCCCCTCATGGGCTACCACCCGTGGCCTTACAACTACCAGGGCTGCCGCACCGCCTGCCGCATCATCATGCCCTGCAGCTGGTGGGTTGCTCGTATCATGGGCGTTGTGTGAGAAAATCCCTTGACCAAAACAAAAAAAACTAAACCGGAGCCTTGACAAAATAAGCAGGAATACAATGAACTGGTAAAAGACTAAAACCAAAGCAGCAGTACTGATCCTGCCTTACAAAATCAGAGCCTGTTTTTCTGCACCAAAAGCAAGGTCAAATATTCCAACTGCAAATTAAAATCCCAAGTTAATATTCCATTAGCTTTACAAGAAGCAAGGGTATATTAGCACTTGCTGAATTAAAAAACTGAGACATCTCAAAAAAAGACAATATTAAACTTTGCTTACAATTGGTTTAGCAGTCCAGAAGCTTGCCTATACATCAAAATAAAGCATTTCAAAACAAACCCCTCTCTTTCCAAGCTATATGTGAAAATTTACACCCAATTAAGCAACTAGCTCAACTTGTACACTTGGGAGTGCCTTTAATCCATGTAACTTACTTAAATAAATCACAACTTAAGTTGCTCCCTGTTGCTATTCAGAGTTGCCAGATCATTATGAATGGTTATAAACCAATTACAGCATACCTTTCCCACAAAGCTGCTCCAGGGGACACGGGAAAGCGCACATTGTGCTAAATCGGAAACAAACAGCAGGAAAAGGAGCTGTGGAAGGGAATGTGAGTGGCTGCAGAATCAAAACCCTTTGCACATCCCAACATCAAAGAAGCCCCAGCATCAAGAATCCTGTATCCATGATACCACTGTAGTGTCTAACAAGTATCTGCTATCCAGCTACTACAGCAAAAGTATTTACATGCAGTTACAGACCAAGGAGTCTCAAGACCCTTCAGAATCTACAACAGCCACTGTTATTTATAAATCCTTGAACTAGACACTTCTGACACAAGATTACAACCCCTCTTTATTTCACATGGATAGCAGCCATTCACACCAGTTCCTTTAGCTTTGCTGAAGCTCACATCCCTTCCCCACAAGAGAAACTGTTTACCAGAAGGGAGGGGAAAAAAAAAGAAATGCCTTTTTTTTTTTCCTCTCCTTTCTCACCTCACCCTTTCTGCTGAGGCAAACTCTGCAATTATTGGGATTGATCCCATTACACATTAAATGTCTAAGGAAGGTACTAAGCTGAAACACTCAAAGCTGGAACAACTTAGTATTTCTAGCCTTGAAAAACAAAAATAGTGGTATTACACCGCCTTTATCCATACTATGTATCTTGAACCCTACCTCCAAGTTTATGGAGCCATCTACATCATCTTTATTAACAAAATGGTTCAGCTTTTCTTAAAGTCTGCTTTCTGGAGCATTCATTTTTGTGACTAAACAGCTCTTGAGATGTTGCAAGCCCAGTAATGTTATTAACACTGCGTGACACAGAGAAAAGAGGAATTAATTTGACATAATCATGGCTTAAAGAAAATAAAGACAACCTCATGTGGAATGCTAAACTGCATATCTAAAAAGCAAAGTGTTAAATGAGAATAAGATGAGAGTAGAATTCAATATTTTGTTCTATTGTAGCTTTTTAGTATAAACTTCACCTTCCCTTAATCTGAAGGACAGACTTGCTTTGAAATATTTAAATTATAAACTTCTTAAAGTGGGATTTCAAGGCCTGTTAAATGTGAGTTTCTGCTTTTTAAACTGAAAATTACCTTGATCATTATGTTGTTTTAGAAGTACATCTATCATAGGCTTAGAAAAGTCAGTTTCCTTTTTTTTTTTTACTGCAGATTAAACAAACACATTTAAAAAAACCCAGTTGCTTTCTGTGCTTTTTTCAATGTAGAAGGTGTAACAATTCTTTCACATACTCGTTCAAGAACTGTCTGAAGAGGGAAAGAAGGGCATCAGCAAGTGAAACACCGGAGGCAGAGAGAGATAAATGTGACTGTGTGTATGCGTGAACTAGACTGTTGCTCTCTTTTGCATCTTGAGGCAGCGTGTCACCTGCTTCTCTCTGTGTCCCCCAATATAACAAACAGCCTCCTTCTGAAGACACAAAACCAACTTTCTTGTAGGTGATTTTCATGTCTACACATACTTAACAAAATTAATTTTTAAGAAAAGCTTGTAATCATTTGCTTTCTATAGCAGTCACAAAGCATGTAAGAAGTCAAAAAGCATGGATCTAGAGCTGTCACATACGGCATGTACATCTTGAGAACGTGTCTGTACACACCATGCCACAAAAGCCACAGTGACCTTAATGTTTATCCATTTCCAAGATGTAGGCAACAAAATGCCCCCTCCAACTCAAGCTTCAAGCAAGCAAATTCCTATTTACCTTCATATCAGATTCAAAGAGAGAAAAGTAAAGATCGTGTGCTGCAGCAAGGTTGGGAAAAAAACAACTGTTTCTTCAAAATCTGATTTTGAAGGAAAAGTTCTGAGACAACACAGGGATGGCAGTAAAACCAAAAAGCCAACGGTGTGAAAAGATGTCTGATATTCCCTGCAGTTGTGGCTTAGACTCCAGCTCTAACCACCCAGAGTGATCCTTTCACTACTGTACACTATTCACTACCAGTAAAGTAGTAAGTTTCTCACTGCCATCACAAATGTAATACCTTAGCACCCTAAAGAGGTTACAACATGTCAGCATTTGGGGAAGTATGGAGCAGTGTGTTCCTTGAATCTGACCCTGGGCCAGCAGAAAACTGAAAGCCTTCCTTTGGCTGAAGTTTAGGGAAGGAGAAGAGGAATGAGTTTGTCATCAACAGTGTCTCCCACCACAGGTGGGTGTATGTTTGTCACAGCACTGCAGTTCCACTATCCTTAAAACTTAATTACCCATGTGATTTTACTAGGAGGATTAGAATGGCAGAGCAGATTAGAGCAGAAAAAGGGGATAAATCCAGGCTGGTGAAAAAGAGATGGAAAACAGGGAGCAATCTCACACAGTTAAATAGAGTGAAAGCCAGTGATGGGAAGGCAGGAGGAGTCTTTTTACTAAATCTACAGTTTCCTTTCTCCCGACTTAAATGAACCCTTTTTCCTTTTTCATACAGGATACACTTTTATCTACATTGAGAAAGCAAAAAGCAGCTGGGAGCCATGGGGCAATCTGGCTTCTACCTCCCATGTAACACTTCACCCCTATTGCAGCACAAAAAAAATCCAAGAAAGTTGCAGTGAAGAACAGTCTAATCACTTGTTCCATGCAGTACAGGGGGGAAAAAAAAAGCAGTGAAGCATAAAACTACAGTTGGCAATGATTGCTGATTGACATGTCTGGGTGGAGAGAATCTCTGCTCAGAAAGGGCAAAAGAGAGACTGAACCAGGAGCACCATCTTCTGCTTCTGAGAGGCTCAGCTGGCCTTTTACAAATACACATCTACCAACTGGTCTTTCACAAGCACATTTATCAAAGACGATAGAGGCAGCCCTAACCTGCAGCAGGTATCTTTCCCAAGAGCAGGAGCAGAGAGCAATCTATGGTATTAAATGGGAACTGTTACATCTTGCTGTCTTCCAATATTTCCATCCGTACACAGATCACTGAGGTCATCACATCACATCAGAGCACTGAAGTGATACTGCCTCAGTCTTCCAGACAGTACTATGTACAGATGACCAAAAGGCTTGGGGAAAAACCCTCAGGTAGTTAGAATGCAATTAAAACATCATCCACTCTGTCCTTGCAGGCAGTTCCCTTCCTCCAGCCAACTCATTATCAGTGCTGCTACATATTCCACTCACCCTCCCCAGTCCCAACAGAAATTCACTTTGTTGCTGGTGTTTTTTCAGAACCTCTATTCAATGCCCAAGCTACTGCTTGCATTCTCTTGATCTACAGCTTCTGGTACCATTTTGTGTGTGTGCATTTTGACAGGAACAAAACACACTGTTTGTGAAGTTCATGAAGCACCTTCCCCCCCAGCTTTCTAAGGAAATTTTGCCTACTGATTTAATCCAATCTCCTCCAAACAAAAAACCCAACCCCTCTCCGCCCGCCACCCCCCCCCGCCCCATACATTCCCCTCTACCTATAAGGCAACAAGACATGCCATTATTGATTAAACTTAACGTGAGGGAGGAACACACACAAATTATCTGCCAGTGCTCAGGAATATGCTGGAATTATGTCTAGACCTGCGAACTTCGTTTACAGGATTGAGATGGACAGAGAACTCTACCACTTGATTGCTACAAGTTTTAGCCTGAAGCTAAAGCATTATATCTGCATTACATGCCTCAAGAGTATGTAAGTAGCAGTGCATTTAATTTTACTTTTTGCCTTAAGCTAAGTGAATTGAATCTCAAAGCAGTGAAACAGTACCCACTTAATACAAGAATATATTGTGTTTATCTGACATAATGCTCCCATGGTCTTTCAGTAAGTGAAAGACAAAGGAACCTCTGCTACATTCTCTTCAGTAAGTAAGAGCAACTTGACTGGCAGAAAACATCTTCAAATTATTTTTTAATTTCTATTTAAGAGAGGTTTACCTAGGCTTTGCCCCATAGCAAGCCTTTTCTAAGCTCTGTTAAGTACTCTGAATGACATTTATAAAGCAAGGCTGGCCAAGAGACAAGAACACAATTTTGTGACAAAGTGAAGCACTCAGACATTTGTCTTCCTTCTACATTTAAAAGAAAGAAATGCTTTTGTGCACAAATAAAAGCAGCAAAGCACTTATCTGGGAGAATGGAGTTCAAGTACCTATTCGAAATCAAATCAACTCCAATGTTAGCATCCCTTATGGATGGGCAAATGCTCTACATATTGAGCAACCAGCTACTCAGAATTCTCTGAAGGTCAAGAAAAGCCTCACACCAAAGCTAAAAATTCTTCTCTGAAACATGTCCCAAGTTTGTACTTTGAGAAACTCCAAGAAGCAGACACTGTTCAGTAAATGTCAAGAGGTAAGGCATAGAAAACCCTTCCTAAATCCAATCCACCTCGGTTCATTGCATCCAAAGAGCAGGGCAAAATCCATTCTAAAGGTTATCAAATTTCAACTCTGGAAAACATGTATCAATTCTGAAGCCAGAAGTGAGGCAAAAGAAATCACTGGCCAGCCTGCACTGCATCATCATGATCTCAGTGCATCAAGAAACTGCAATAATGTCAACCCTTGTAGTCATAGTCTACATCCAAAAAACCCTCTTTTCAACATTTGCATGATTTTAAAGCCTTGCTGTCTCTCTACTGCACAGGCATAGTAACAGTAGTGGGGAAAAAACCATTGCACTTTGCCAGCATCACTGCAAAATCTAGGTTCCTATTCCTCAGGAGGAAGAGAATATATCCTTCCTTCCTCCTCTTTAATTTTCAATCATCATTTAATACCTAACAGCTGCAGACTTCACTTGTCCTATCAAAAACACCTGTTCTAACAGCCTGTCTATTTTACCAAGCTCATCCAATTGACACCATAGGAAAATAACACGTTCAATACAAAGACAACAGGCAGAATAACAAATGGTCCAGAAAACCCCACATAATTAGGAAAGCAAGGAAAAGTAGCAAACTTAAAACAGCATCCAATGGTTAGCAAGGAATGAAGTTGCCTTCATGGTGCTGTCAATATTTGCAATTCATGGTGTTTCTATGATGACAACATTTGGCTATCTCTGAATTCCCAAGAGACAGTGGCACACAGACAAGGCACATTTAGCACAACCTTCTGAGTTCATCTCTCATGGAATCACAAAAAGGCTGAGATTGGAAGGCACTCCTGGAAGTGCCCTTGTCTAACCCCCTTGCTCGAGAAAGGGCATCTCAAGCCACGTGCCCAGGAGCATATCCAGATGGCTTCTGAGCATCTCTAGGTCCCTGCAAACTTGTATTTAGGAAGTACAAGCACAGACAGTACATAGATTCTCAATTCCTTTTGTCTATTGTTATTTACAACTTGGTCATGACAATAAAGCTGCACTAATGGAAACAATTAAGGACATACAAATTGTTCTTTAAACAGTTTCTATTATTCAGAAATTACGTAACTTAAAGCAACTGCTTGCTGGCTTTGATTCCAGGTAAATTTACTTTAAATTTAGAAGGTAGACAGAGGACCTACTTTTCCGTAAAAAATTCCAGTCACAACAAACTTGCTATCTTCCACAACTGTGACTACAGTTCAACTTCTCACAGAGGTGGAAGGACTCCAAAGTAGGTGTTTTGTGTCTGCATCAAGAATAGTAATCTCATCCTCTTCACAGAGTGCACATTTAGCTCCTATACATGCCAGCTTTTCTTTTGAAGCAGTATATTTACATCCTTGCCTTATCCTTACCTATATGCTTTAAGTGATTCCCCTATAAAAAAAAAAAGATACTAAAAATGAAATAAAGCAGCTTCCTTATAGAAAAAGTTGTATTTACAGTTTTATTTAGCAGAGTTAAGGAGCAAACAATTTTAACACTGTTGTGAAAAGTGTTTTTACCCAAAATTGCCAAGATCTAATAAGTTATTGAACAGAAATACCAGGTGTAAGGCAATAATCCTGACCAGCCATTAGAGATCACCCTATCCCAAAGAGGAGAGCTGATAAAGGTGGTAGAAAATTTGGACTGATGGACTCAATTCCCAGAAATTAAGACAGATGATAAAAATAGGGTTCCACTCTTGAGTATATCTTTAAGATCTGCAGATGAAGGAATTTCTAAAGCACGCAAAATGTACAGACAATTCCTGTTTTCAAGGGAACATTCAGTGCTTTGAATCCAAGAATGCTATGTCCATACATCGTGGTCAGTACATGACTATGGCAACACATAGATGGTAAAGATCAGAAATAGGATTAGAATTTTTTCCATTCCACGTCATCAGGAGGATTTACTTCTACCTTCCTTTTACCAACATCAGACCAGTTGGTGCTCAGAACTGTGCCACCAGACTCCATCTGCAATACGAGAGAGAGCTTGTTTAGTTTGCTGTAATTCCAGTAATATATACATATATAAATATATATATAAATATATATATAGTTTGCTGAGCATTCCAGTAATATAAAAGCCACAGTTCCTACAGCAAACTTCAGAGTAGTGATTACACAGAAAAGGTGTACCTATGAAATAAAATTTGACAGAGCCATCATTCCATAATCTCCAGCCCAGCAGTACTTTTATCACTAGTGGACACAGTGAGATGCTGCTTCATTAACAAGAAGCTTTTAAAGGGTCAGTCACGTTCTTGCCTGTGATGGCTACAAATTAAACTAGATTCATGTAATCAAGAGGAATTTGATCCTTTCACCCCCTGGCAAGTCTTCAAGCTCTACATGAGCCAAATCTATACTTCTTCTGGTAACACTGATTGAAATGAAGAGACCAGTGACAAAGCACAACCTTCGATTTATAAGGAGTCACATTCATCAGAGTACAGCCAGCTTTTAGTGAGTGTAGTTGTACCAGTATATTCAACAGACCTATGGCCAAAATTTATTCATTTACAGACCCAAAATTTTGGTAACAGAGGCTTTTCCCAACATATACGAAGTTTAGTAAATCATATCAGTGTGCAAAGTCACAAGTTTCTTCACAGAAAAGAATGAAGACTTACGAATGATTTGTTCATGGCACGTTTTACTTCATCTGTACCATCTGAATAGATTTGCTGGAATAGTTTATTTAAAGCAGCATCTCCTTCTAACTTCTCATTTTTTTCCTCTTCTTTGATTTCAACTACCAGTTTGTCCCAGTTCCTTGTATAGTGAGACGATGATGGGTATAAGTGCTGGGTATCTGAAAACAGAAGTGTTGGTTAACTAAGCATTTTCTTACGACATTGTGAACATCAGAGAACACAGACACATGTACCTGATGAATCAGAGATGATAATGGGACATGAAAACGCAAATGGACTCCTCTGAACTGATAGAAGCATTGCAGAAACAAAAATAAAGGAAACTAAGAAATGCAGAAGTTTATTTTTAGGTAAACAGAGTTATGTAATTTTGTATCCAAAAAAAGCTGGCCAACAGCAACACAGATAATTGATATCAAAATGAGATATTGGCTGACAGAAAAAAATACAAAGCAGCAGCCTAGAACCATAGAATAAGTTGAGCTAAATAAAAAAAAAATCTGAAATCAATACATCAGGAAATTCAAATTCTGTCAAAGACAGAATGCTTATCTGTATTGAAAAACTCCAATGTATTAGTGTCCAAACAAAATGCAATACTTAGGGAAACAGTAATTATTTAAACAACAGGTCACATAACAACTGCTGTCCTCGGTCTGGCCAGGACAGAGTTAAGTTTTTGGAGTAGTGGTGAGGGGTGGGTGGGCACTGGTGAAGCTCAGTGGGCATGGCCATGAAGATACTCTACACCAGGGCATATCATGCTGGGGTGGGAATAAGGGACTCCAGCATCCCAGAAGGAGGGCAGGGCTTCCAGTCAAGAAAAAGGTGTGGGGAGGGGGAAGCCATCCATCCCCTGGTCATTGTCACCCGGGGTCCACTGGTGCATTTTGCATGTAAATCTCTCTCTCTTTTGTAGCCTTTTATTATTAATGTTGTTGCTGTTACTGGTTTTTTTTCTAATTTAACTGCTGTTTCAAGTAAACTGTTTTTATCTCAACCCTTCACCTATTGCGCCTCCAATTCTCAACTCCACCCCACTGCAGTGAGAAAGGGGAGGGGAAAGGAGAGTGAGACCTCGACAGTCTCCTTTGGGAGAGTCCCAATGGGGCAGTGAATTGGGAGGTACCATTCCTAAACCACAACACACACACTTAACAATGTACAGAACAAAACAGGGACCTAAGCAGATAAGCAGAATTAATGACAAGCATATATATACCCTTAACAATTCATCAGATTAACAGAGGTTATGACTAAATTTAATACCTATGTTTCAATAATAGCTTGCAGACTTTCTGTCAATTCTTCACAGTCAGGCTTTTCATTGCAAATATGAAGCTGTGATTTTATAAACAATATTTAACACAGAACTATTATTAATAACTGTAACTCACTCAATACAAATAAACCATTTAATACTAAATAGTTCAGAGAACAAACCTGGTGTAAATTGTTTTAACTTAGGAGAATCTCCCTGGCCCTCCAGCTTCTCCCATCTTACAGCCTCTGGCTTCTTCATTTTTATCTCAACCTACAAAACAAGACAAAGAAGAAATTAATCCAGATGCAAACAATTCTGCCATGTAGCTCCAAAGTAGTCAGATCCTGTAGCTGTAAGAAAATAAAACTTTTGGGTTTAGAAACACAGCCTCTAATATGAAACCTGAATCACAGCCAAATTTACCTACCTTACAAGACAAAGTTACTTGAGTGCAAGCCACACATCAAACAAGCTCCCTTGTGCCTGTGCAGCTTCTGTATCAGACTTCTACGCTTCTGTTTAGGACCACTTAACTTTCTTTTGCTTATTATTCACTTGATTCTTTTTGTAAATTATGGCATCCCAAAGGTAATGATCAGTCCCAATGTCTTTACATTGCCAGGCTCCAAGGTATTGGCTTTCAAGCATCCCGTTCTTGGCAGTCAGCTCTAATAAGCAGCAGTTTTGAAAGACTACAAAATCCAACTTCATCTAAGTTTACATTTCATTTACCAAAAAATTCCATGTTTGATGTGTACTACACAAACCAGAGAAACACCCTGGGACTATGCAGATCTTCCCACTGGAGAAATTCAGAAGCTGCATTCATTTGGTTCAATGAACAAACACTGCTATGGAGAAAATTGTCAAGTATTCATTGACAAAACTGGCAATTAAAAATGGATGTGGTTGCAATTACCATAGGAGAAACAAAATTAAGTGAAGTATGTCATGCCCTATTCACAACTTCACATAATCCCTTCAGACAACCATACTGAAATGTTTTTTTCATAATTAACCTTCTCCTTTGGTTACAGGGTTACGAAGTTGCAAAACAAGGACTGTCTAACATCACTCCTATTCACTTAAGGAGATGTCACAAAGCTCATATGATGCTATTAATTAACTGAAATCAGTGCTTGCTAAACTTCAGTGCTTCCTTATTTGCAAACAGCTCAGCAGAAGCAAGTTCTTAGTTCCACATAAAGCCACTACAACCTGGGGATCCCTGCAGACCCCAGAACAAAGGCACCACTGTAAAAGCTAACCTTAGATTCAAACAGCAAGCTCACTGCCCAGCATTATGTTGATCTGAAATTTGAACTTTATTTAATCCATTGTGAAATCAATCACTGGTAAGCAACAGACTGAGATATCTTACCAAAATATAAACAATTAGCTCACTGAAGTTTTAATGCTTCCATGTTTGCAATCACAATGAATTTTAAGAAACAGAATATTCAGTTACGAATGTTTCTTTTTATTTTTTTATCCCTCAGGAAGCTACAAATTCCCAAGATAAGTTGAAATACTTAATTTTCCACCACTAACACGTACTGAGAACAACAAAAAGTTTAAGATAAGAGGCATGAAATGTCCTTCAAGGCAGGCAAGAGCTTCAGTAAACTTCTAAGTCCGACACCCACATGTATTTGATTTCCTGCTCCCTGCATCTGTTGGATTTTTCAATATTGTCAGCCACTTGACAAGTCACAAATTAGGTCAGAGTATCCGTTCTGAAAGTAACATCACAGAACCAAAAATAACCAAATAAAATCAACATGCTGTTAGTCTGGATGATCAACCTACCATCCCTAAAAAAGGCCTGTATTTCAGAGTTTAATATCGCAATCTGTACGGACACAGTAATTTCTGTTAAACTCTGCAGAAGAATTACTCTTCAGGAAACCAAAAGAAGTCAGTAAAGCTACCTTCACTCTTTTAAAAACATTTTGAAAATTGGAACCTTGAAGTTCATTTCTTAGCATCTACACTCAATAAATCTAATGCTCTGTTAGTAGCTTAAGGAAGCAAAATATATTTGTACATCTACATATAAGACAATCAAGTAGTTTCACAAGTGGCAGAACTAGCAGGTTTTGGTTCCCCGGTGGATTTGGATCTCCTGAGCCAAACATTTAAGTTAATTAGCTACTTACAACGGAACTAATTAGTTACAAGTGAACATGAGTATTAATTTAAAACCACTCTCCTTGGTTTCTTATATAAACTCTTCTCAGCTGAGGAGACTCTATTATCAATTGAGTTGTGCATTTCAGTTGAGGCTCTAAAGTTTAGATTTTATACTCTACTTATTAGTGCATCTCCCAACATGCTGGGGGTGCTGGGAAGCAGATGCTTGATACTGAACCTGCTCTCCCCTCCATCTCTTCAATTTCTCTGTTTTTCTTTCACTAACTCCTCTTGCCCTTACACTTCAGGCTTTCCACCAATACCTGCCAGTATCTCAAATACAGCTTACCTCTAATGCAATATAACGCTTGATGTGAGCTACTAAACATAGACTTTTTTCTTCTCAGAATACAATCCTCCTCAACGGGTCCTTATAAAGACTATTGGCTATTCATCACAGTACTCTGCCCATGCATAAAAAGAAGAAAATAAGGCACAACTTTAGTTTTGCTGCTCCAGTAATCCCCCTTCTTTTCTAATCCACTAGCCCTTACATTTTCCTCTCTAAAACAGTACTGCACAATAAACAGCCCTAAGGAGAAGCCAATGACACAAACTAATTCTCAATGTAAGATGCAGATTTCTTAACTCTAAACCACTTCAACCCTGCCAAGCTGGAAGTGCACACAGCTGAAGAACTGAGACAGAATGTATTTCTGACATGATTAAACTTCTACTCTGTCTACTACATCCACTTCAATTGAAGGTACTCATTAGGCGAAGTGGCAGGCAGCAGCAAAGCTAGGGAAATCATTAACTTCATACCATCATACAACCACATTTTCCAAAAATATAAAGCTATAAAGTTCTGCTTGTGAAGGCGCATGTTTCTTCAACTTGAGAGCTCTATTTGATCTAAGAAGGAACAACTCAGGGAGTCCCAATTACGTGCACAAATGGCAATGAATGCATTTTAATGAAGGTTTTAATACAGATACTGACAGCTATCACACAGAAAAGTAACACATCAGTACAGACATTTGTGTCATATCTAGCAAAAAAGTACTGTTAGCTTTTCCCTCTCCTTTGAAAAAAATTCACTTGGGCAAGAGAAATACATCAACGCTTTGCCAACTACTTTGATTCAACATTTATATTTCATAAAACGTATGCCTGTGTGCCTTGTGCCAACTTTAGTATATAAGACAGGAAAATTTAACTGCAAATTAAATGCTCTGCATGCCACCTAAGGACAAGCCTAATTCCTCAGCTTCTCCTTGTAGCTCAAGCTGTGCAGCCACCTGACCATCTTGGCAGCCCTCTGCTAGGACTTGCTTCACGACATCAGTGCCTTTCTTGCACAGGTAAACCGACAATGGGATATGGACTCTAGATCTAGAAAAAATCCCAATGCAGATATAATACACTTTCTCTTTAAAGTCCCTTGTGTTTTGGGTTCAAAGAAAACAAAGCAAAAAGGAAAAAAGACACATGGAATTTTAAGAGTAATTCATTGTTTGAAATACCATCTTAAGAGAAACCTACTCTTCTGAGAACAGGGTCAAATGAGGGATTTTATTGTCTAGAAGAAACACCACCCACAGTGAAAGGACACAGGTAAACTTCTACTCAGAGGGATTTTATTGTCTAGAAGAAACACCACCCACAGTGAAAGGACACAGGTACTTTCTACTCACTAGGTTCTTCTACTCAGAGTTTTTTAGTCATAGAAGCAATCAATTTTTTAAAGCCTACCAGAGATTTGGACACATTTGTCCGGGGCTTAATCCAAGTGCTAGCTATCAGAAATTCCTCTCAAAACCTATTCTGAACCATTTCATTGATACCATAAAAATAAAACAACACCTTATTTTAGGATGACTGGCATAAAAGAGCATTTAATCCAGTTTTAAGAAATAATTCATCCCCTTTGGTAAAGATCAACACTAGTTAGCCAACACTTGCTTCCTAGGTAGATACTTACTGTTAAAAAGTTGAAACCTCTGAAAGTTCAAGTTTCACTTGACAGGCAGTGTCAGTCTAACTGAGACACATTAAAAGGGGATGAGTTTTTATCTTCCACACTAAAAGAAGATTCTGGTGTACACTGACAAACTGCAAGGGTTTTTGGTTTTTTTCCTAATTTTTACTGTGTTACATTTTACAGTCCATGGTAAGGGCAAGTTCATTTACCACTGGCAAATTTCTGTCAAGCTCTGGTCAGAACTGGCAAAGCTTAAACAACAGTGCAGCCACATTAATTTTAAGATTTACCACAAATACCCTTTTCAATTCTGGTGTTCTGCTGTATCAAACACCTGAAAACAGGAATTCCGTGTTTCTAATCAACTACTTTGTTATTTACTGAACTACTGAGTGCCTTCTCTGAGTTGTACATTTTAAGTGTTTAGAGCTGTCCTTCTGTGACCATCTCATGAATTTTGTAGGAAAAATAGAACAGTCTTCTAAAAATATAAGAACTATTCAAATGTGCCTCTAAGAGCACATATGCCTACAGTTTTGGTGTCCTAATTATTCAAACACCTTTTATATATTGCTTGTAGTCTAAATTCCAAGATTTTTGGTCCATAACTTCAAACAAAATATATTAAGACGAAAATAATTCTACAGTGCTATCACGTACAAATGATAATTAAGAAATTTATTCTATAGGGAGTATACTGCAACAGAAGGGATTTATTTGGTTTCTTTGCCAGCCATGTACTATGGGGAACTGTGGGAAAAAGATTCAAGTTTCCTCTGACTGATATTACATAGCCAACACAAATTTTTTTAATTTTAGAGGAGAAGCTAGCAACAGAGATCATTTTGGTATTCTAAAGCTATTTGTCACTTTATTCTCCATGTAAACCATCATTATTCCAATAGTTCTCAAGACAGTTAAACCCCTTATGCATCGTTTTCTTTTATGCAGTTACATAAAGCATGGGCACTGACTTATATGCGTGTATAAAATAATAGTTCTCAGAGTATTACCAAATTTAAATCTGTCTCAAATCCATCTTCATTAATACAGAAGAAAAAGCATAAAATCAAACTTATTGTTCAATAAGTAAATATCGTGCCAACCATAGTGAAGGTTTCAATGTGGTCTACCCAAGAAACTGCCCCAACTAGCCCTACCTAAGAGATGCAACATATTTCAGAAAATTATCCATTTATCTTAAATATTAGTTTATAATTTATAGAAAATGCTCAAGAATATACATGGGAGATATCAATCTGCATGATACTCTTACAGTGAAAACAAGTACTCGAGAGCAGCCAAGTCCGCATTCAAGTCCCTACAAGCAATTTAATGCAAGTACCCTAAAGAGGAAAGTATCTTTTAAGGACTGGACTGCAGTGGTAAGACCCAACTTCAGTTAAAATAGATATGTTCCTCTGTTTATCTATTTGTGTACATTTGCCTCTGAATAGAGACTCTGATGACAGTCCAAGAGTGTGTGAAACAGTGCCACTCTTTGCCTTTTCCCTTACATTCAGCAACAGGCATCAGTTCCAGTTAGCTTCACAGGGTATTTCAGCTTTTGCAAATCAAAATATTGGTTCAAGGAAAAAAACAACATTCCACTGATGCACACAACCATATTCTTGGCATGAAGCTGCTGAGAGTGTGCTTCTCTCTTGACATCTCTGTTAAGCAAAAAATGTCAACTGTAAAAGAGGCTGAAGCTTTCTAACACCTCCCTGGTCTGCAGCAAAACTTTGATCTCTAATTAAAGGACAATTCTGGGGTAAAGAAACCACGTTTTACCACTTTTTCAAATGGCTCTACACTGCCTCAAGTCACTGATTGCAAAAAGCCCAAAGCATGACACAGTGTAAACTCAGAGTAATTGTCCTCAGTCTATCTGTAGACTAAAGAAACCACGTTTTACCACTTTTTCAAATGGCTCTACACTGCCTCAAGTCACTGACTGCAAAAAGCCAAAGCATGACACAGTGTAAACTCACAGTAATTGTCCTCAGTCTATCTGTAGATAGGGGGAAAACCAGAAAGCACTACCTCAAGTTTCCTTCAAGGTCATAACCACAGGCACTAAAAGCACACAGTCATCTTCACTTTCCTCTTCTAAGTCTGAGGAGAAGAAAATCCCAAGCACCACCTAGAACTCATCAGAAGACCTACAGAAACTGTTCATGTTACACAAGTTTTCAGGAGAACATTGCAGAATATTCCCCCTGGAATCTCAAATGCACTGACTGATAGACTGAGCAGAAGAGGGAAAAGAGAGTGAGGCTGATTGTGCCTGTTTAATAACAGTAGAAATCCTTACACTATTTGTACATTTCTACTTCCCTGACATATTTTCTTGGACAGATACAGAAAGACTAGTTTTTTCTTAAACATATTTAGTCACTAATTTAAGATTTTTATACCTTTTTCCTTCTACAAAGGGAGCACAATGACAGTATGCATACTAGGTCACAGAATAACTGCACCCAGGCAACTTGCAGAGAGCAAACCTGGTCCAGCCTTTACATTTTGGCTCCCTCTTCTGGAAAGAAGTAAAAAACCAAGCAGCACTACTAAAGGTGCCATCCTCCTGTGAAATGCTGAATGCCACACAGTTTTCAGCTTCCATTTGTAAGACACACATCTCAAATTTCTACACTGGTTTTAGAGCAGCTGTTACTTTTTGCTTGATCAGATTGCTACAGTCAGATACCTCAGACAGATGAGGAGTACAATCAATAACATCAATTAATGTAGTTATGATCTACCAACTGTACTGCTAATCAACTGTACCTGCAAGAGAAGGGCTCAATTCAGTGGTATTCAGCATTTTCTAACACAAACATTAACCTGAGGCCTTAACCATTAGAATTAAATGCTGAAAAACAAGAGGCAACTCTTGCTGTTGCCTTGCCACTAAATGTGAGCAGGAACCATAATCAGCTCAAAGTTCAATTTCCCAGCAGTGTTATCTATTGAACAGCAAGTAAATTTTCTAATTAGATTAAAAAAAAGGCTTCAAGTATGGCAATAATAGATACAGTCACTATTAAAGGCAGCCTGTATCATTTGTAAAACTGTTGACAATTGGAGAATATAAAATACTAGAGGGTGCATGAAGACAAATTTACAATTTTTATCTCAAAACTGGACTTCACCCACACATTATGTTGTCCTTGAGTAGGCATCAAATATTTTACATCTTCTAGTTCACAGCTTGAAGTCAAAGTCTGCAGATGACAAACACTAACTTATTTTTGCTCACAGAAACTACTCAAACAGCTCAAAACATCTACCTATGCTACCTCGGTAACACTCGCTAGTCCTGTTTTTTTCAAACAGACTTTGTATCTCAGAGCTTGACACAGCATGGATTGATACAAAGGCATAATTTTAATTTCCTCGCTGGGAAAGAAACAATTCTTATGTGAGCAATTGTATTTTTCACCACTGTCAACACTTGCTGAAAGCACCAGTTCAGGAGTCTATGAGTTCTGTCTGCTCTTTGCAGCCACTTCAGAATTTGTAGTTTGCAAATACAGTTAAGGATGTTTTCTCCTCCCGAGTTTGCATCCTTACCTTCATGCCTTTGCATTTGCCAAGTGATGCTGAATTTCAAGCAGTATTGAGAAAACCCTCTACAGCTCCTCTTAGTTCCAAAATACACAGGATTGTTCTACTCTCTGCCAGTTCTGCTGTTTCATTCTCTATCCCTTAATTTTTTAGTTGTACAAAGTTCATGGACCCAAACTATTCACCACACAGCCTGCTCATATGTTCCACTGTTTTCTCATATTTGCTCACGTAAGTGAAAAAGGCCAGAGTCTTTGTTGCACAGTGATGACTGTAAGATACTATGGCAATGTGGCTCACACATTGAAAGCAGCAGCACAAAATAAAGCAGTATGAACAAATTAAGTTATTCTCACCTGAAATCAATAATCCACAGGAATAGATCTGTTTCTATCCCATGAAAACTCAACTTCTTTAGGATTGCATAGTAACAAGTTTTTGTAATTGGGAAGATAATGAGATTATGTCTTTCTTTACAAGTCCTTACAAAAGGACTTCATGTAAATAGTACAAAATAATACGTGAATGGTTTGAGAAGTTTTAATCAGTAAGATTAATTTACTCAAAGTACTACCCGCCTGTTTGCCATGCTGCTCATAAAAGCCAAGTACATACATGAAGCTAAGAAAACTGAATTTCTGGTAATCAAACACTAAGGCTGCATCATTCCCTTAAAGCGCTTAATATTTTTCTAAGAAAAATATTCTAAACCTGTAAAGAAGTCTTTGCATACTTAACATCGAGATGCCTTTAATTTTTTTTTCTTCCAGACTCCACCTGGTGGTCAAAACAACAACTAGCTGGGGCATGGTTTAAACTGTATTCCTCCACTACGCCCTCACAGGCAGCTTCATACTATTCCTTTCTACAAAAGTAAGGACATGCTGAAGCCCTTACTTCTGCAGTTAGAGCACTTTCTGTGTTACCTCTTACCCATTTTATCTCAAAAATAAGTCTCTCACAAGTATTTAGGAACAGTAACATTTGAAAAGAAATGCAAAATATTTACAGTTCAGATACTGCCTGAATGTAACTCAGCCTTCCACCCCACTTCTGGAACCTCAAAGTAAAATAGGCAGCAGACTACTAGAGATTATTTCAGAAATAAGCCCAGGGTAGAGACGCCACTGTGGAAAAGACAAAGTCAAGTGAATTTCACAGGACTCAGTTCATGTAGATGCCTCCTAAGAAAGTAATGGTAAACTTCAAAACAAAATTAAAAGTGTAAAACAAGCTAGGTAAGAACACAAACAAAACTGGACCTCACAGCTACTGTTCCTGACAAGGTCTGTCCTCATTCCACTCAAATTAATACAAATACTAATGGACTACCAGAATTTCTACATACTTTGAGCCATGTAAGCTCCTACACGGTGGGGGGCCTAAGTAAAGTGCTCAATCATGCAACCTGCCCAGGTTTCTTTGTACAAGGAGTGGAAAAACAAGACAAACTTTCTGTGGCCATCCTCTCATGCCATCCTGAAGTCCCTCTTCCATTAAATTATGCAAGATTTCATAGGTACCTTTCTGAGAATACAACAGGTAAAAAGAAACAGGAGTATACAAGAGAATTCCCATAAGCTCTGTAGAGCCACTGCTGAAATACAAGAAAAGAATCAACATCATATTCCAGCATTGGGGACTCAGGCTTGGCTCTGTGGACAAAGCATGTCTGTCTATCCATTATGCCAACAAGAAATGCTATGCCAGACCACTGTTCCCTATTTTTCTATACTTGTAATATAGAAGAAGCAAAATGCTGAGACGGAAGCATTCTCTCACATCATGCCATTTTCAAGTGTCTCCAGGCATGTACTATGTCCAGGAACAGCATGGAATACACTCTCTTGAAAAGCCACGGACAGTTAACCACATGGCTAACCTTTACCAGCAAGAAGCTGTGAAAGGGTAGAGAACAATTTCAGTGAAATCTTCCAAGTCTGACTTTCATTTCTCAGGCACACAAAGATAACAATGCTTCACCAGGCAAGACTGGCTCCTGAAAGTTTTGTAGAAGGGTATTCATGCTTTGTAATACCTGAATTTTAATAGTGAAGATTATAGTCTTCTTTCTCTAGCAAGTGAAAGAATCATCAACATAAGTCTTTCATTAGCACTTCAATAAGCACCATCATATTACTGTTTCTGATATTTGCACAAGTTTAGAAAGTCTCCCATCAGCTGAAAGACACCTTGAAGAAAAAAAAAGCATCTCTATATGAAAAGCAAGATATTATGACTGTTGCAGAGAGACAAGACAATAGAACAGAAACATTTTCAGGGTGGCAACAGTCAAAGAAACTATTTACTTTAAGAAGCTTACCTTTGTTGAAAGCACTTTAAACGTACTTTGCTCTGGCACTATAGAATGAAGAAGGTCAAGTTTTAAGTTGAAGTCTTCACCTGATGGAAGTCTCACTGATGCATTCATCTGTTGAAAGTTGAAAACACATCTCTGGTCAGCTTTGACAGCACGTCCATTTTCAAGTAAAGGACCGTCATTTCACACAGATATTAAGTGATTAATATCATTTCAGACATTGCCATTACACTTCACTATTGGACAAGATGTTTCTAAGATACATTAGAAAATGAATGGAAGATTTCAGTCCTTGCTACACATACTCAAAAAACCTACTATCTTGTCAGCTGGACCTTAAATCTTTAGGGAAGGAATTATACAACAAATGGAGTATCAACATATTAATAATGGAACATGAAAACAATCTGCAGCTTCTCTTCTAATACAAGCAAACTACAGAACAAGTGCTCAGACTATTTTAACAACCTAAAACAGATAATAATAACCAAGCACTTCTGGTATTTAATGAAGTATCAAATTAGTTGAGAATAAGAACCCAACTCTTCGATATTGCCAGCTAAAATAAACATGAAATTCATTTGTACAACATATGGTACTTCATTAATGGCATTACTGTACTTCCTTAAAAAATATATTTTGCTGCCACAATTTTAGTGGTGCCAAATGGAAGAAAAACCCACCCACCAATACCCAGTCTATTTCTATAACTGTCCTAGAGCAAAACATTACTAATTCATACCTATTTTGAGAATACCTTGTGCTTGTGCCCAGTCCTGCTCCACATGCATGTATAGTCTAACATTTAAATCCAGATCAGTTCTTCCCCCACCCCTCCACACAGGCAGCTGTTCCAGATGTTCTCTTGCAGCACGCACACCTCTTACTGTTTGTGTTTAAGTCCTATGGACACTGCTGTGGCAACCAATCCCAAATCACCTGACTGGGCATACCCTCATGTGCAGCACAACTGTACAGAAGAGAAGCTCAGGCAGGACAGCTCCATCCCCATTCTTTTTGTGCTACTGCAGTACATAATGTTCACTGGCTTGAGTACTGCCCTCTCAGGGAATTTAGGGATGAGTATCAATAACGAATACAAATCACCTTTCTCTCCAAAAACTGCACACTGACATCATCCTTCTGTGCATTCTTGATCATTATGGTCACAATTACTTGAGATTCTGTTTGGTACCAGTCATATCTTGAAAAAAGAAAAAAAAAAGAAGGAACAATTTTTGGTTTTTTTTAATAACACACATATAAAATTAGATCACTTCCCTAATTCATTCACTTCTTAGTTCAGAATATTTAATATAGCTCAAAAACATTACCTATACCAGGCACAATGTAACAGGCTTTGAATCAAGCTCAGCATGAGAATAAGAAAATAGAAGACAGAATGCTGATGCTATTCCCCTCTCTCCTGGTTAGGTTTAACCTCCTGGAAGTACCATTTAGTCTGAGCAAAAGTGATGGTACTAAGTAACACTTCACTTGGACTGCCGCATTTCTGAAGTTGCCCCAAAAACGCCTCCTACAGTCATTATCCTGCTTCTCCAATCCCCAAGCCAAAGTGCAAACACGCCAACTTCAAATTTCACAGTAAAGCTGAAGTCAACTTACTTGATCTTTGGTGGCAGAGGCTGCTGCATATTCTAGTTGAAGCACATTCAGTTGGAAAGAAAGTTACATCAATGTAAGTGAAAATACACCATGAAGTATTTTTCAAGGCATAAATAATTTTCACCGATTGCTCCCCTTTTCCTGATTCAGCTGCACCCCTTCCCTGATTTATGTGCGAACATTAATTTACAGGTGAAGTTCTCCACTGTTCAATCATTTATGGTAGATTACAAATTAAAAAGTTTCAATTTACATTAAATGTGTTAGTCTGTAACTTGAATATATTTTATAAATAGCAATTAAGTTCAACTTAAACTCATTTCTTCCTGGATAAGATGTATACCTGGTAAACATCCAGAGACTATACTGCTAATCTATAAATCATGGAAACCTGAAATAGGTCTGAGAACTCAAGGTTCAACTTTTAAACATAAAATCCTGCTAAATGTAAGATTTGTCTTTACATACTATCACCATGCTTCCTGTACATTTTTCTCCTCTATCCTATTCTCAAAGTGTAAAAAATGTAGGTTAACTATTAAAGAGGTAGCAGGATATCCAATGCAAAGATCCCTCTTTTTTTTTTGTCCCAAGAAGAAAAAAACCAGAAGGAGACGTCAATTTCAACATTTCTTATAAGACTTTCAAAAAAAAAAAAAAAAAAAAGGCAAGTGAAAATTGAGTAGGTTGTAACAGAAAAAAGATCTACAAACCACTTGCAAGCTTCTGGAAAAAAAAAAGAAGTTAGTAGTGACAACACATTTAACCACAACTGGTTAATTCATAAATTAGGCTGCAGACTGCAAGCCAGAAAGTTAAAATTTATCTCAATGAATGCACAGTAATTGCCAGATTTGTTAACCATTCCTAAGAGTTTCCAGGGCTCAAATTTTGTAGCCTTGGTCTCAAAAGCACTCATGTTCAGAAGAAAAGTTAAATACTTCAGAATTGCACACAATATGAAAGATGCTTTTTAAAGCTTGGAAGCGAAGCCACTGAAGCAGACAATATATTCTAGCATAACAGAAAAGTCAAAATAGTAAACATATTAAGGAAAATATCTTACCAAATCAGTCTGTGATGCTGGAAAAAAAAAAAGAAATTGCATTTTCAGCAAAAGACATATTGATCTTACAAGGCACAATCTTACCCTAGCTGCTTCAGTTACTCCAGACATCCTGCATTCACTCCAGTCTCAACAGCAGAGGAGGTAGAAACACACCAGTTCTACCTCTAGTATTTTGCTTTCATGACACTCTACTTTTTATCAGACTTCAACCAGCAACTTGTGCAAACCAACAACTCTAATATAAAGCGTGTTCAGATGAACTGAATCAACAAACTTTCCATTATATTCCCTTGCTTACCTGAAATGGATACATACCCTTTTTCATAAAAACAACATCACAGGAAAAAATAGGTTAAAAAAAAAAAAGTAACCGTCTGGGAGTCTGCACTAGGTATATCATCCATCCATCCCCAGGAATAGCACAAAGCTCTCATCACATTTTTATTTCATGCTAGGGAAACCCCACTGAGGAATGAGATTGAAATTTCCCACTGGGGAATGAGATGCAAATTCACTCACATGACCCTAAATATACTGTAGTACTTGTATCTGAACTCAGTATCTTCCCCTCTTATAACTATTTTTTTCTAAAATATTTCAGATTAAACATATTTGAAAAGAAACAAACGTTCCCTTTGCTTCTTCATAATGAACACTGACAAAAAGAGAAAAACATATTAAGCTGCAATGAAGAAATCAGAGTTATTGCTTTGTTATTGCCTTTATTTTGCTGGTGTATCAGAGAATTAAGAAAATGGTTCAAGAAAGACAAGACAGTGAATACTCAGGATAAAACAAAACACTGTAAAATATAAATACAATGTTAAAGATAAAAGTGTATTGTAACCTCTTTCAGAAGAAATTGTTGCCCAAAGTAACTCTTTGCAAAAAAGACAATGCATGCCTATCACTTACCTCATTCCTCCAAATAAAATTAAACCTAGCAAAAAAATGTCTCACAAAGTAGAAATCTGCTCATCCCTATACAACACATAAGGGTTCTCCTCTATATGGTTTTTAGTCAACACAGCGACACAAACATGTTCGTTCTACTGTCCCATTCTCCAGTGTGCAGCACAGAGAGGAGGGAACATCACAATAGGAGGAGGAAAAAATGACACAAGTTATTCTGCCCTACTCTCTCAGCAAAATCTCCAGGCAGCCTAAGCTCAGTGGATGAGTTAACTGTCTGTAGGACTGTCTGTCTGCAGGAAGGTATGAAAGGAAACTATGCTTACACTCAGTGACTACCACAGGTAAGTCACCAGAACAGCCATTAGCATCTATGGCACTTTCCACATGGAATCAAGCAGCAAAATCTCCAAATTTCTACCTCTTTCCAACTTTACCCTCTGCAAGACTTGAACACTTATTTTGATGTAGGCTTTAGATAGCAAGCTGACACACACTCCTACAGTTAAAATTAGTTCACAGTTGTATATGAAAATAAGTTAAAATTAATTATGATTGTCTGATCCTTAAATAGGTACTCTCATGGCACAGCTAATTATTGCACTAAAAACCCAATATAAATCTTCCTATAAATCTGAATGAAGCATACAAGTGCTAAGGGTGTCTACTCCAAGAGAAACATGAGACAGAAAAATATGACTTCTAAAACAGATTTTTCTTTTAGAACAAATTACTTTGTTCTAAATAAGAGGAAAGCAGTGAATCTTTGAAAAACATAACACAGCTTCCAAGCACAGGGCATAGCAAATCCCTCACTAAGGAAACGTGGTTTTTCTTACCATTCAGTGTTTCTTCACATCTTTTAATCCAAACAGTAAAGGTATCATCTACATCTAGAAGAGATCAAACACAGCAATATTAAAACTCTTTCAAGTATTATATGTATTGCATGAAGAAAAAGTCCTTTCAGTTGCCAACTGGAACAAATCCATCCCAAACTTATATCAATTTACTAAAAAAGGTGTTATTTCCTTTAACCTTCCTTTAAGCTCTGTCATTTCACTTAGGCTTTAAGTCTTTTTGTACAACTACACTGTGTGTCATATTTCATTAAACTGTAATTAATCTGTAGGAGACTAGATTTTATTTAACTAACACAAATATGCTATTCCTTTCTAATCTGTTCAACTCCTATGTAGCTGTTTAGAAAGCAAGACGTACAGTTTTACACATTTTTCCATTTTTCTTTAAATTACTTTTTCAAACAGTCACACTTTCTCTTCAGAGAAATGCAGGAGATGGTCTGTTGTGTGAAATTAATTCACTGAAAAATAGCTAGAAATATGATAGTCTAACAACAGAGCAATCACTTCATTTCAACAATATTCCCAAAAACTCTTTCACCGTGAAGAAAGTAAAAAAGTAGCAACAATGTTGACCAGCTACTAAGAACAGCTGAATTTCTTCTGGTTTTACAAGTGAATTCACATTGTTAACTATGAGGCAAAGGACATGAAGAAGCTCAACAAAAGTTCCCAGCAGACACGCAGGTAACAGCAAGTCTGACTCCACTGCAGCTATACAATGTACCCCAACCCTCCAAATATAAACTGTACATCAATTTTGAGGTGCACCTTAGGACATAAAATTGCTATCCCACTCCCCAAGCCATTTCATCTCAATTTTTCTTCTGCCATCTGACCAGATATCTTAAGAGTTATCTGAATTTTTTACCGAAAGAATGGGCAAACCCTGAAGCACGCTGCCCAAAGGGAGTGTGGAATCTTCAGTCTTGGAGATACTTGGAAAACAATAGTAAAAAGCCCCCAAAAAACATATGCAAGTTCAAAATTAATATTACTTTTGGTCAGAGCACAGAATTATATGAATTGCAGAGCTCCCCTGAAACCTAAATTAATCAATATTTTCAAAACTTAGCACTGCAGCCAAAAAGACTTCCAAACTTTGCAGTCTAAGCAAAGTCTCCACTGATCCAGCCTCCCTCATCAGCAGGTGAGAAATTCGCTTTTTAACTATGGCTTATGACTAGACTGCTATGCAATGCAAACCTATAAAAAAAAGTCCAGAGTTAACTTCCCTATTTTTACAGATCACACTTTTTCCCTACATCCTGGCACATTTTAAAATTTGAGGCAAATTAATTTTGTTCTCTAAAATTGTATTATCCTCCCAAATAACTTATTTCTACTAAAAACTGTAGTTAAGAAAACCTTCCTGGGTCTTCACTGACTAAAATATACTAACTCCTAGAATACAAAAAAAGTAAGAAATTTCTTTAAAAAGTTACCACATTGCAGCTTTACTAAATTTGTTCAGTGATCACAGCAAAAAAAAAAAAGAAAATTAGAGAATAATTGTCCTAAATCTACATAGCATACTGAAGAGTACCAGATTACACTTGTTCTTCTAAGGCAATAGGAACTGCAAAAATCTGCATGCATCGCACAGTTGAACGAAAGGAGTATTGCTTTCTAATGTTATTTCATAAAATCAAGAAACATCGTACATTCCACAGCTCATCACATTAAGTTCTACTTTGATATCCTTGTAGGTGGGTAATGGGAACATTGCTGTGGTACCCTGGGCCTGTCAGTCCGTGATGAGCACAAGTAAGAAGCTCATCCTTGTCAGCATTCCAAACTGAGATTTAAAATAGCCCTTACATTAACAAAGAACAGAAACTATCCATGTACTTCCAAGTACTTCTGCCCATTTGTGTGGCAAAGAAACCAGCTTTCCCAGCAAAGAATTCCCTACCACAGCAGTTCTTCCCAAGGCAGCAACAGCTGAAGTCTCTCTTCATCACCTGCTTAGCGTATGTCGCAAATTTTCTCTCTGTGTTTTGTTCACTTTGCATTTAGCTGCATTTAACTGGAAGCTAATTGTGTCGCCAAAATGCTTATGCTAACAATTGTTTTCACGTGGGATCCATGAAACATTCCATAAAGGTAAACTCTGTTACTGACACAAACTTGCCAGCAAATTAGGTAATATACGAAAGAGAATCAACTAAGTCTGTAATTTTAAAAAAGCCTCCAGGAGACTCCTCATCTCACAGCAGGCTACAGAATTTTGTAATGAGATAGAGGAAGCACAGCAGAAAGTATCTCCAGATAAGTGAGTAATCAGGAAGTGCTAGGAAGCTTCAGAAACTCTTCAACTGAGTAAGCAGCAAAACAACAGCAAATTAAATTCAAACAGGTAAAAATTATGCAATTCAACACAGGAAAACGTGCCATATTTCAGGGATTCTGAATTAGCAAAGAGGACCCTGGTAATCACTGACTTATCCAAAAAGATATCTGCAGCTCTGTGTTGTACTCTACAACATCAACAGAATGTGAGGTTATCCATGCACATGAAAAACCTCAAATTGATACTGGTTGCCTGGGGTGGGGCAAGAGTATGAAAAATAAAGATTAGACACTCAATTAAATTCAGCAGCGATGAGCGTGGTGATGTACAAAAAGTAACCTACCAAGTAAGGAAAGTAACGTAGGTCAGTGGAAGGAATCTCTTCCTTTCACTGAAAGTTACAAAATAGAGAACCAGACTAGACTGCAAAGACAAACCTGTCTCTCTACTGTAAAATAATGGAAACCACCTAGTTATCCAAACTACCAATACAGAAAGAGCTTAATGAAACTTCCTAGTTTCAACTCCTGTTCCAGAGCAGCCTAAACTGACAGCTGCGAGTTGCTAAAATTTCACCACATCTCCCTTCTACCACTGGCCCAACACTGCTCTGCCACTTCACCTTTGATGGCTTCAGCACTCAGACCCTTTGTTGGGCCATTTCAATATATTCATCCAGAAGGAAAGACTTTAAAAATAGTAGCTTTCTGCATACTTAATGCACTGAAAGAGGCTAAACAAGCACAAGAGTAATAAGGAGCAGGATCACTCAGCATCAAGCACTAGCTCCCACTTCCATGAAACACCACTTTTAAATCTGATGATTAGATAATTTATTTGGAAGATGCAAAGTAATTATATTTTTGCTACGCCTACATGTCCCAGCCACTACTATTACAGATAAGACAACACACTGAAAAGATCTGAGACTATGACAATCCTTATCAGATTAGCACACTTTGCATAACCTTTCAAGGTGCTTTTTTTTTTTTACCATCTTTTCTTGCTGTTTGGAAGAAAGGACGGGGTTTTGTTTATAATGGGGAGGGGGGATAGGAGACAAGAGAAAAGAAGAAAAAGGGGTCACAACCATCTTGCAATTGCTTTGTTTTGTGCTTCCCCATGTGTTCTACTAAAGCCTTCTGTTTTTAACAACTCCTTTCCTGCGTACTGAATGAAGTCAGGTTTTAAAAAAGTTCTAAGTGTTCCCAAACTAAAAACTGCCCAAGTCCAGCCAGAAAGCCAACACTGTAAGACGAAAAGAGAGGTATAATAAATATGCTTTTGTAACTAAGTGGTAATGCAATGCAAGGTAAAATCCACTTTGTCAGTTTGAATACACCCAAGTTGCACATGCTTTCTAAAGACTGATCTATCAAACTGTTTCAGAAGAAATTCCAGCTATATGTAAAGAGCCTGCTCTATTAAATTTTTTTCCTATGACACTTAACACTACAACATTGCTACTATTTATCTTCAAGACCTCCAGGAAGCAGGAAAACATTTATAAATAAAAAAAAAATCAGCTACTAATTGTTCAGAACTTTGATACACATTTTTAAACAGTTTAACACTTTCATGCAGTGATGGAATAAAGGTTCTCAAAAGTCAGACAACAGATGTTAGGGACGCAATACATTAGCCTTTAAAAAAGAAATCTTTGGTCTCCATTTTAATTTAACACATTACCCATAAGGAATACAGGCAATAAACTTGAATACTTACTGTCCAGCTTCTGTCCCTCTCTGAAAGACTCTAAAGCAGATGCATAGTTTTTGATATGATATTCACCTAACCTGACACAAATAAAAAAAAAATATAAGAAAACAGTGATTACTTTTCAGTGGAGTCCACATTTGGTAGATAACACGCTGTATTGGTTAAAAGGACATGCAAGAATTTAAATTACCCAAAATGTGTGGTTTTAAAATGGCGAGGTCATTACGATAATCACCCCAAATTAAATGGCTTTATTACAAATGGGTTGCAAGCAGCATGGCTTTGAATTTATTCATTCTCAGTGCTGTAAAAATTTTGCAAAGAACCATAATCCAAGCTCTAGTATTGACCTAGAGATTAGCACAATATTCCCAAAGTACCATAAATGATACCTACCCTTTTCTAAGGAGCGCTATAGCATTATTTGGGTTGAGTTCTAGAGACTTTTTTGCATCTGCAACCGCATCTGTTGAAAGTCAGTTTAAAGTTGAGAAACATAATGTTATAAAAAGCAGTGAACTGTCAAGTCTTTAAGTAGTGAATTTTTCTAGGATGAACTATGTTATCTTTCTTAGCTTGCACACAAATCATACTGTCTGAATTAAGTCTAGCCACAACTGCCACACATGAATCCCTCACAGAGCTGCAGAGCTCTTAAGTAAGATGCAGCATAACTTTCATTTAGCCACTCTGCTTAGATCTGAAATGTGATTCTGTTTGTTTGGTTTTTACTGGAAAGAAAAAATAAACCAGATCTTATTCAGTCAATCTTTTTCCTAGGCATTATTCACTTATTACATTCCTACCATGACAGAATTCAGTCTCTACCAACCATGGAAGCCACAACGCAAAAATCTCAAAATCTGCCTAAAAATTCTGCTTATGAAAAGCTGCCAAGATAATACTAGACTGGAATAAAATAGAAAGCTGGGACTCTAGAAAACTCATTTCACTGAAAGTTTTGCTGTAACAAAACAATCTAAGAAAATGACAAGATTATGTACCAACACCAAAACCAGCATATCAAGTTACAGATAACACACTCTCTTGTTACTGTATTTGGCTTCAGATTGAAGACATCTCCTGTAAAACATGTGTTATACACTTGTAAAAAGATTCTCAGACTGAAGATGTTACCAGCATATTTCTGTAGAAGAATATGAGCATAAGCTCGTTGACAATAACATTCGGCATCATCTGGATTCTTTTCCAAAGCTGTTGTCAGTTCCTGTAAACACACATTAAAAAAAATGAAACAGTACTTCAGAAATCCTCATAAAAACACAGTATCAAACTCTGTCAACTAAGAGACATTTCAGAAGACAAAATGCTAACTGGCATTTCTGTTTACCTGTTGCTTAGCTCTCAAGCACAAAGCTAAACATCAGATCCCGAAGTACAAGGAACCTGCCAATTATACCAAATTCAAGCAGACTGTTTCTTACTGCGAAGGAAGTCGGATTTCAAATGCTCTAAACATAAAGTCTAACACAGATGATCCTCTCTATTCCAAAAACCTTCCCACAATTCTCAGCATACTTGTACACAAGTCTACTGGATTTGAGAGAGCAGTGCAGTATTAGGAATTTAGAAGTTAATGCACAGTACATCAGAACAGTTGTGTGGAGACAAGATGCTATGAAATACCATGTAACACATATTATAGTGCATAAGAGATTGTTTCAATTTATGCTGATTACAAAAGCAGAAGAACGAAAGATTTATGGAGCACAGGGTTCAGAGGAGGTATTACTGAAAAATGGAAATAAGCATAAAGTAGTCCTTTGTTAAGGGAATCACAGGATATATGGATTGAAATAATAACACATTGCTCTCTCTGAGAAAAGTTCACGACTTTGCACACAGAATAAAATCACAGCAACTCAAAGCACACACCTGGAAAGAGCATCTCCAATTCTCTCCTTATGGGTGAGAGAATTTCTTCCCTTTGCTAGAAGCCAGTCTTCCAAAAGTGACTGCATTGCTACAGTAGCCCTGCTAAGCTGACTTCTACTAAGACTTCCACCTGGAATCTAGCAAGCATGAATGTAGCTAAGACACAAGCTTTAAACCTGCAGAAATATTTGTACAGCACAGTTGCCAAAACTCTGTCCCACCAAGACAGAGAAAAAAGAAGAGAAGGAGGACTTGCCTTAGCTCTAATTCAGACCAGTGTCTTTTTATAACAGATGTCACATAAAGTGTATATGCCATCTAGCATTTACGGGGCCAGAACAGCTTCTTCTAGCAGGGGCACAAGTTCTTACTATGTAAGATACACACTCCTCTAGAGATACAGCACATGAATCTAAATCCCTGGGGGTCTCTGAAGAAAGGGGCATGCAGTAGACAGCAGTAACTTGATCTACTTGTACCAATGCCTTCCTGAGATTTAAAGTCATACAAAAGCAGCTGTCTTTATGGAAATACTCATGGCTACAGGTATTCCACATGGTAGGGATGAGAGGCAATGCACATATTAAAACTGGTTCATATTATGCTGAGAGGTGAAGTACTTCTGACATTCAAAACCAAGCAAGGGCTGACTCTGACACTCATCACAGGCACATGCAGGTGTAGAGACACTGCTTTGACAGATCACCTCTAACCCCAAACACTATTTCCTGTGATTTATGCTGATGACAGATGCACTGATTAGAGCCAGCAACATATTAATGGATCCTCCTTACAAAACCAACCCTCACCCCAGGAAAGCAAAGCAAAGCATTTTCAACAGTGTAAAACTTCTCTCTTTGAGTGCTTTTTATCAGTAAGTTAGCACATCTCATCCAGGCACACACATGGAGCAAGTAACTCCTGTAAGCTATTTGAGAAGCCAAGTAATGCTGGACTAGCACTGGGAACTCCAGACTATGGACAGCAGCAACAGTTACTTAGAACAAGTTTAGACTTTGTCCTCACACTCAAGTATGTGCTTTCTGCATAATTTGACTCTAAAGGCCCTTACCATGTGACCAAATTGCAGATGTTTCTAAATACACTGAAAAATTTAGTGAAGAGTTTGCATGAATCAAAGGTGCCTTCTGTCTCCACATAGCAGCTCACATTTTCAACTTTAAATGAGAATTCATTCATGAGTTCACAGCTTTGTCATTCAGACAGTGTTAGAAGATGGATGATGATCCTTCAATTGCATCAGATCCAGGTGCGGAAAGCCAAAGCACAATCTCCAGGAATTAAAGCAATCAAAAATCCCAAGGACACAATGCAGAAATCCCAGACTAACTGGACAGAAGCCCAGCCAGGTATGAAAGCATTACACAGCACCATTTCTACAGAATTGTCCCCCAGATTAGAAACACAAAGCACATGAACATACAGACCACACATAAGCCCATGCAAGCACAGTGTAGCACCTGGAGACCTGAGCCTCTAAACCAGCAGAATGCTACTCTGAGCTGTGGCACTTAGCAGTTCAGAGACCACCGAGCCCAATCTGCCTTCTCAGTACAGAGATTTGTAAAACAAGGCCTAAACTGACACCACTGTTACTGTGTCAGGTATTAAATAACGCCTATAGAATGTGTTACATAATGTTCTGAAGCACTGAATGCACAAAAAACTGAAAGATAAGCTAGAAAAGCAAAACAGCTATGTTAATCCAAGAAAAAAAAAGACAAAAACACATTCTGACAGTATTCCTTAATACTTCTGAAAACCTTTTAGTGTCAGGGATTTTTGGTTTGTTTGCTCATGTTTTCTTCTAACCATAAAATGTGAAACTTACTCTTTTTTTTACATCTTGAATTAGTTTTATTATGCCATACAGATTTGGCTATTCCAAACTGGTTTATAAATGTAACTTATCTTTTGAAAAACTTCTACAAGTTACAGCCTAAACCCCAAATAACTGAAAAATTTAGCTTCACCATTTTCTTTCTGGAAAGATAATTTAGTATCACTTAATGGTTCTACCACCCACTCTCTTCAAGAAGTACTAACCTTTTACATCCTCTCCCCTCTCAAGTAGTTAAATAGAAACACTTATCCACCCTCCAGTTCTGTCTTCTCACCAACCGTCTGTTTTAAGTAAAAATTACCTTAGAAAACAGATTAAAACATATTAACTGATGAAGTCATAGAACAGGCCAGGTTGGAAAGGACCTCAAAGGATCATCTCATCTAACCTTTAATGGGAAAGCTTGCCTAGATGAGAGTATTTAGCAACCTGCCCTTTCGTGTCTTGAAAACCTCCAGTGATGGGGACTCTACCATGTCCGTGGGGAGGGTGTTTCAGTGAATGATCGTTCTCACTGCATAAAAATTATTTTCTGTCGAGATGAAAGGAAGATCAGTGGTGGTGCCCACAAAATATAGGGAGAGGAAAAAAAAAAAAAAAAAACAAAAAAACCAAAACGACCAGGGCAGAATAAAAACTAAGATGCAATATCTCTCTTCAATAAGCTTGGGGGTTTTACACCCACAAATCTTAACTGATTTAGTTCTGTGAGCTATCATCTACCTACACGGAAGAGAAAGTTGGTTTGCTTTGCTTTCCCCCCCCACCCCTTCTTTGCCACACAAGCAGCACGAATTACTGTGCCAGGTCTGTGCCGGGCTCCCCCGCAGCCCGACCTCACCTGAGCCAGGCTCCCGGGGGACCCCGGCCCGGCCCGGCCCTCACCTGCGCCGCCGCCCCCGGGTCCCGGTCGACGTCCGCGTCCGAGAACCTGCCAAGGAAACACAACGCCGTCAGCGGACGGGTTGGGGGGCAGCGGGGAAGGCAGGACCGGGGAGGGCGCTCACCGTGGCGGGGCCGCTGCCGATGCCGATGCTGCTGCCGCTGCCGCCTCCCCCTCCATGCCGCCCGTCGCCCCCAGGAAACTTCTGGAGCCGCCGAGGCGCCCGCGCCGCACGCACCGCGCAAGGCCGCGCCGCGCGAGGGCTGCCGGGAGGCGCGGGGGAGCGGCCGCGCAGGCCCCGCCCCGAGCGGAGGCCCCGGAGGAGCGGAGCGGAGCGGCACTGTCTGCCCTTCCCACCGCCTCGTCCTGCCCCGCAGCGCCCGCCCCCCGCGGGAAGCTCGGCCTTTGAGAGATTTGTATCAACGTCGGCAGATTTTTTTGTCAGTCGTTAACCGGTAGCTGTAGCTGGACCAGTTAAGTAGTTGCGCAGTTGTGTTGTGAGCATCGTTCGCCTGGCTGATCTTTCGCTTTAAAGGAAAAGGGAAGACAATCGCCAGAGGAATTGCTGTCTGGACGGGAGCCGCCAGGAGTGAAGTCAGCAGGGCTGGGCAGTGACTGGGGAAAGGTCACCGCGGCAGAGCGACATGGGGAGCACTGAGCCCTGAGCACCTCCTCCAGGCGGACCCCAGCTCAGAGGGAGGGAAGAACCGCGTCCACAGGCGTGAGAAGCAAGAGATCGCAGAATCAGTTTGGTTGGAAATGACCTCTGAGATGATCGAGTCCAGCCCCTGACTGAACACACCACCATGGTAACCAGGCCAAGTCCAGTATTTCCTTAAACACCTCCAGGGACGGTGACTCCACCACCTCCCTGGGCAGCCCGTCCCAATATCTACTTGCCCTCACTCTTCCTAATGTCTGCCCTAAACCTCCCTTGGTGCAGTTTATGATACCACTAGCAATAGGGGTTAGAGTACTAATTAAGGAAAAAAGTTATATAATCTATAACCAGTGAAGGCTGATGCCCTTGTTTGTTAAAATTTATAACCAGAGCGAAGTTCTAGTAATCAGAGAACCAGCCTTTTGTGGGTTACCACCTAGCTCCCTACTTTGTGCAAATCAGAATAAAAACCAGAAATACCTCTCAGTGTGTCAGCTGGTGCTGTGCACCGAGCACCCAGCCCGTGTTCAGGACAACGGGGCGGTGGACAGGACTTTGCAAAGGCAGCCTGAGGCCTCCATCCTCCTCCACCTCCTCCAAATGGCATTTCCTTCTGTGAAATGCCTCAAAAATAAACAAGTGCCTTTTTCTCCTCCGTGGCTTCACACACGTGTGGAAAAGAAGTGCGGCCTCAATTTTTATTTTCTGACTCAGAAGTGGCTGGGATTTTAGCTGTTGTGTTTTGTTTGGCTGCTGCCACAGGCACAAAGGCAGCTGTGACAGGGGAGGGGTTGCTCAAACTCCCAATGTGAGCTCTCATTTTATGATTTACTCCAGCTTCTCCCTTCCTTTGCCATATCCAAGAGAGTTCAAAGTACAGATCCACCCGGCTGGCACACCGAAGCCCAAGGGATATGGGGAGGGAGTGATTCCATTTACTGTCTGTTACACAACAGTCTGCTGCTGGAGATTTCTGCCACTTCTCCAACTGACATAAACTAAACTGACAGATCATTTTCCATGTGTAATAGCTGCATCTATGGCATGAAGTTTTGTTGGTGAAGCTGTAACCTTATGGTGCAATTTTTTTTCCTCCCCCCACATTTCCAGTAAACACCAAAGCAACTTCCCTGTATCTAAAAACACTAATGTCAGTCAAGCATTATCACTTCAGATTTTCTAGAATTATGAAATACTTGTAATACAGGAAAACGTCCCTATTTTATAGTTTGATTTAAAAAAATAGCTTCCCTCTCCAGTGCTTCCATCAATCTAACATAGCCCTCAGGATGAGGACTGTTACCAGATATGCTTCCACAAAGCTTATCCACATTCCTGAAAATATTGCTGGCACTCCCCAGCTGCAGGGAGCGCTGCCAGATAAACAACCACCGGTGTGGGTATGACCAGCCTTCCTGTAAATGGGGTGAGGCCCTGGGTTTCCAGGTGGAAGCCTGACTGCAAAGAGTCAGAGGGAAGAAACACTGAGCTAACACGGCAGCTGTGGCAGAGAATTGCTTGTTCAATAGTTTGCAGAGTTTCTTCTGTCAAGCAGCAAGACCATACTCTCTCTGCCACTCTTCTGCTCCTATTAGTTTTTCTAGTATTAGTGTTTAACATTACATTTAACCTTACCAACCAGTCAATAAAACTTCAACTTCAAAAGTCATATTCACTTTCATTTTATACTGACAGAATCATAATACCAGGCAAAATATTTATTATTAACTTACCCTCTGCTTAAACACTGCAACATGCAAGTTTTTGAAGCCCTAATAGTTTGGGTTGTCAGTTGTATCATACAAGCTACAACAACCTTTCTGAATTACACTCAGAATTTTGTGTTGTTTGTTTGTAACGTACTGGGAAGTGATGGAAAAGGAGAAGTTTAAGTCCAGTTCCTGCATTTAGCTCAACCTTCAGTTCAGCTACAAAAATATACATTACTGCTGTTTCAAAGGATACCGACAGCACACTGCGTTCAAGTCTGTTCAGAAGTGATTTGTGAATTGCTCATGTTCCACCACAGACCCACACTGACTAAGCACATTGTCCTGTTTCTCACTGTATTTTACTTAATTATTATGATTGTCAAAACATTATAATAATAAAAAACATTTTGGAGTAAATACAGAAAAATGTTTTTCGATTTGATTTATTTTCATAATAAACCAATTAAAAATACAAAAGAAGGACCCAAGGTTCAATGGGCTCCATCATTTAAAAATTTGTCTTTAAATACAAAGTCACTCAGTAATATGAATACATATAACATTAGACCTCTAAACATAACGATCTTATTGATCTTATTTGCATCTATCAAAAATTTGTATGGAAAAAAATTAGCTGAAAAAACTTCCCTGCAACATTGAATATACAGTATTTACAATCAAAAACAAGAACTCTTAGCAGTATTAATCTCCAAAAACCTGCATAAATTGTATATATTTAATTTTCCTCCCCCCTTACAAAATAATCTGAAGTAGAAAGCAAGATTGTTAAGCTTCATAGTTGCAAAATGGCATGAAATATTTGCACCTGTAGTGATGCTGTTAGCTTCTGTAATTAAATATATCTGATGTTTTCATATAAAATATAGACATGGCATTGTCCATTTCTGGAATATATGTTTTGAGTACTCTCAATAGGAGTGTATATTCAATTTTGCACACACAAGAACTTGTGCTGCAAAAAATGCAAGAGGATACCTGGTTATTAAAGTCTAAAACTGATGTCATTCACTGATATGAAACAGATACTCGATCTTAAAAATTCAAACACATGGAATGAAACTGTCTTACTAAAACTATCTGCTGCTTCCAAAGGTGATACACATACAGATTAAACAGAAAAGGTTACAATAACATTACTGCAATGTAAATCAGCAACAGACTGACAACAAAATAAGAGAAGTTTGAAACTTTGGCCAACAACCTCAGGAGAAAGTCTTCATAGCATAAAAAGCATGTTCCTTCATGCCTGTACTTTGAAAAATGAGTAATATATAATTTTATTTATGATAACATTTAGCAATTAACAGAAAATCAAAACCATCCTAAAGCATGAATTCTAAGAATTAACTGCAGAAATTTAGTAGCTTTGCAACATCATGCTTCAGAATCAAATAATATATACATAACTGAAAAGGTCCCATCACATTTATGAAAATAATCATCCACAGGGTCTTTTTTTCTTTTTTAATTATTTAATTAGCAATACAAATTGGGTTCCAATGGCTCATTTTCTTGCTTCACTTGCACATCAGATGGGAAATTATTTGAACTGGACACTACCATCACAAACGGTTGCTGCTGGAATCTCTGCTCCGACTGCTCAGCATCTTCTACTTTGTCACTCTCCTCCTTTTCCTCTTCTTGTAGGCCAACCTGCTTCGTGTCCGGTGCTTTGATGACCGAAGTGATCACCGTGCCTGATGGCTGAGACACCACCTGTGAGCTGCTGGGCGAGAACGTCACCACGGGGGTGGTGGCACTGAAGGATGGAGATGAAGCCATGTTGACTGTTCCATTGCAAATTGTCTGCACGCTGCTGGTGAGCACCTGCTGAACTTGTGCTGGGCTCAGCACAATCGAGGAAGGAGGCGAGACTGGCTTCTGAGACTGTAGCATGATGTTTTCTTTAAGAACCGTCATGGGCTGGGAAGTAGGAATGGCTTGTAAAATGAATTTCTGTGCTGTTGTTACTGAGGCTGGATCTGTGCTGGCTATCACTGTAGTAAGAGGCACTGTCTGGAGTGTTACAGCATGCAGCTGCTGATTTCCAGGAGAAACAACCACTGGAACCTGGGTTGGAGTCTGCAAAGTCCTGCTAAGATTAGAGAAGATTATTGTATCAGAACACTTCTATGCTGAATTTAAAAAAAATAATTATAGATATACTACAGAAAAAAAAAAAAAACATTTGGCATCATAAACATTACATTTACCCAACATTTCCAAAAGAGGTAGTAGAGCCTCTCCTAAATAAACAAGAACTGGACCTGACCCCTGAATTCAGCAAGATGATTCCCAAAGTAAAGGTACCCCACATGAACAATATTGCCATCACCAAGCTGCACAGCCTGCCTTTGAGACATTCAGTGGTTCATCAGGAAACCTAGAATCACATCCAAGACCTCTACCTCAAGCATTGACCAACATCAGAAGAGAGATTTGACATCCGTTTCAAAAATTGCACCAAGTAATTAATAAATCACAAGCCTAAGTCAGGCCTTGCTTGTCCTGACATCCACATATACATTTAACTGTATTCAAAAGTATCCACATGGTAGCAGTGTCTGGGCACAACCTTGCCACACTTCCAGGACACAGAGTTCTCTGTCTGCCAGGCTCACACACACCTTCTAGTAAAACAACTGATCAGAATCTGCTTCCAAAACATCATTTTAAGTTAGGAGTGATTCCATTTTTTGCAGGCTAATAGACTTGGATACTGTGTGACTGTCAATAGATGTAGAGCTCTGGGGACAACATTAGAGGATTAAGAGCTGTATTGCTGGAGTACCCAGTTACTGCAGTAGCTACACAGTGGTTACTTAAACGTGGCAACACACCCCAGCCACACAAATTAAAACAAAACAAAACCAA